TGGGTTGCCTGAGCCTGAGGAGGAAGCTGCGGATGCCAGCCCATCCAGGCAGACTACTCGTTCCAAGCGCAAGGCTGAGGACCAGCTGACTCCCAAGGACGCGGCCCTTTCGTCCGCGTCTCCCAACAAGAATAACAAGAGGCGCCTTGTGGACAGAGAGGATGAAGAGCCGGCGACGCCGGCTACGGTCAAGAACAAGAGGAAGGCAACTGTTGAGGATGAGTCGGATGAGAACCAGCCCAGCAAGTTGCAGAAGTCTACCTCGACACCCTCAGCCACAAAGAGCATGTTCGAAAAGATCGCCAACAACCAAGGCCCCTCTTCAACGCCCAAGGCCGCACCTGCCCCTGCCCCCGCTCCCAAGGCTGCGGAGGCCAAGCCCAGCAGCCTCTTCGGCGCCGCACCCAAGCCCGCCAACAACGACCTGTCGCGCTCTGTTTTCGAGAAACAGCTTAAGCCTGCCCAGGCATCCAACATCTTTGGCTACTTGTCTGATGCTAGTTCGGCAAAGAACAGCGGTGTGGAGGCCGACGCAGAGAGTGAGACTGATTCCGATGACGAGGCGGAACCCAGCGTTGCCGCTAGTGGTGGTGCCGAAACGCCGTTGGGTCAGCCGGCCTCGAACCTCTTTGGTGCTAAGAAGCCTCTTTTCTCTGCTGGTGCCGCGACTGCTCCTTCCAGCACTTCGTCCGACGCCCGGGAGACTACCCCCTCCGGAACTAAGAGTCTGTTCGACCGCGTGACTAAGGGCAACAATGGACAGCCTCTCCGCGCGGACTCGGCTGAGCCGGCCCCGGCCCCTGAAAAACCAGCTTTTGCGCCGGCCAAGGAGGCTGCTCCGGCCCCGGTTAACGCTACCTGGAACCCCAACTCCCCGATCAAATTCAATGCCAACCCTGCGCCTAGCAATGGACTTTTCGGTGCGTCCACAAACGGATCGAGCTCCATCTTCGGTGCTAAGCCTGCAGCTCCTGCAGCTCCAGCATCCAACCTGTTCGGCGCCCCGAAGCAAGATGAGAAGCCCAAGGCCGAGAAGCGGTCTGCTCCTGAGGAGGACAAGGGCGCGGAGTCCGATAAGGAGAACGACTCACAGCGCCCTTCCAAGTCCCCCTTTGGCGGCTTCTCCGGTTTCCAGTCGAAGCCATTTGAGGCACCCAAGAAGGACGAGGCAGCTCCCAAGCCGGCTGCTCCGCCGACTTTCGCGTTTGGTGCTTCCGCTCCCAAGGCGGAAGAGCCCAAGCCTGCCGCCCCAGCTTCAAACCTCTTCGGTTCCCAAGACAAGCCTGCGGGCTCTGTCATGCAGTCATCGACACTCTTTGGCGGCAGCAAGCCTCAGGAGACTCCCGCCCCCGAATCAGCTAAGCCCCTCTTCGGCGCTAGCACATCGAGCACTTCGACTCCTTTCCAGTCGAACCCTCTCTTTGGTGCCCCGGCACCCGCGTCGAGCACCTCTAACCTTTTCGGTGCTAAGCCCAATGACGAGGGTTCCAAGGCGCCGCAGTTTGCTCCCGCGCCCGCTGCGGCTCCTGCCTTCAGCTTCGGCGCCAGCAAGCCGACCGAGTCCGCTGGTTCTCCCTTCGGTGGTAGCCCCATGAAGCAGGATGGCCCGCCGGCGAAGAGACAGTTCAACGCACCCGCTCCCTCTGCCCCGGCCGCACCATCTGGTGGCATGTTCAACTTTGGTGGATCCCAGAGTGCAGCCCCAGCTAACCCCTTCGGCGGCGCTGCGCCTGCGCCTCAGACAAACGGCGGCTCCAGCGGTCCTCCAAGCTTCGGCTCTGGCGGAGGTTCATCCTTCACCTTCAGCGCCGGCGGTGGCGGCACGAGCTTCAACAACCCCTTCGCATCTGCTAATGGCGGCGGCTCGGGTTCTGCTCCCGCGCCTTCGGCCGGTGGCATGTTTAACTTTGGCGGCGGCGGATCTTCCGCCCCCTCGAGCAGTTCTACGCCGTTCCAGTTTGGCGGTGGCTCGTCCGCGCCTGCACCTGCGGCGGCAAGCAGCAGCCCCTTCCAGTTTGGGGGCGGCGCTCCCGCTCAGCCTGCTGCCCCTGCTGCCTCGACTCCCACCTTTACCTTCGGTGCGGCTAATGGATCTGCCAGTGCTCAGGCACCTGCGTCTCAGAAGCCGCTCTTTGGAGCGTCAACCCCGGCGCCTACGAGCAATCTCTTTGGCGGTGCCAAGCCTGCCCAGCCTCCCTCTGGAGGTATGTTCGGTAACCTGAACCCCCCCGCGGGTGCCTCTACCACTGGCACAAACTCACCCTTTAACTTTGGTGGTGCCTCCAGCCTAGCTACGACTCCTGCCACTGGCACTCCCGAGCCGACTGCGGAAGCCGACAAGGCCGCTGGTGGTGAAGGCGACGACGCTGATGGCAAGCCTCACGAGCAGCTCAAGCTTACTGAGGGTGGCCCCGGCGAAGAAGACGAGGAAGTTCTCCACGACGTTCGCGCCAAGATTATGAAGTTCATTCCGGCCGGATCCGAAGAAGACAAGGACAGCGGCGACGAGAAGCCCAAGAACAAGAGCCCTTGGTCAACTAAGGGCGTCGGCCCGTTCCGTATCCTGAAGCACAAGAACACTGGCGCGGTTCGCATGCTGCTGCGCGCGGAGCCTCGCGGGCACGTCGTGCTCAACCGCTCCGTTCTGCCTTCTGAGACATACAAGGCGGACAAGAAGTACGTCAAGCTCACGACCTCGAACGAGACGGGCAGCGGCCTCGAGACCTGGATGGTGCAAGTCAAGACGGAGGACTTTGCCAAGGCGCTGGCAAGCGCCCTGGAGACCCACAAGTCTGCCAACGCCAAATGAGGTCAATGATGGAAACGCAAATGAAAAGGATTATGGAAGAATGCCATAGCAAGTGTTTTTTGTTTTTTATTCTCCGTTTTTTGGTCTGAGTCTTATACTAGACGGAGAGAAAGTGTATGTCTTGTTTGTCTGTAACGGACATACATGTGATGGAGTGTTGGGGTTTCGCGTAGCGACACAAAAAAGAAAGGTAAGGCATAGCATTGCTCTTTTGGCTCGGCGTTGGGACACTATTTTTTGTTGTTTTGGTTTTTATTTTTCTTCTTCACTCGTTTCCTCTCGAGGTTGCCGGGGGTTATTCGTACTCCGTATCCTCACTAGGAGGGCGGACTTGTGAGGATTGAGGCAGAGCGAGGCAGAAGCCGAGGCTTCTGAGAGACATGGCGAGAGGGAGGAGGATCCGAATAAAAAGTACAGTTGTAGAAGTTACATTGGGAGGAATAAGGGAATTGTAGTACATTATCAAGGAAATTGTGTACCCTGACTTGAAGTTTTTTTCTCCGTGCTTGCTCTAAAGTTGAGATTGTATGTTGTTGGCCAGACTTGATTCCATTCGGCGTTCAGCTTTGAAGACTGCTTCCTCTAGAAGTTTGAGAAGTGAAAGTCTGCTTCTCATTTAGGGTGACAGAGAAAAAGCAGCCAGTGTGGCCGTCCGTAGATCAAAAGCTCTCTCTGTTGCCGTGTATAGGCGCATGCTTGAGAACATGAATTCAAGCGAGCCCGCGTTTGCTGATATCTCGTTTGATGCTTTCTTCCTTCCTTCTGTAGTCCGTTTTCCTATTTAAGCATTTCCGTTCCACGAGTTGGATAGAGAACAAACCACATTCTGTCGCGCTGAGCGGTGTCGTAGGGAATGAGCACTGATTGATTCATATGGGGACTCTGGACGGCTTGGTTAGGCTAGGTTGGAGCCCCCCTTCTAGCGAATGGATGTCACATGTATCATACCCAATAACTTGACGGAAATAAAGATCAGTATCTTGTGTCGTCCGTCTGGCGTGAGGTATTCAACATGGAATAGGGGTCAAAAGCTGAGAGGGGTTGATAGGAACTGGGATTAAGTATGGCCTGTGAGAGTTTGTCTTGGGAGTAGGTAAAGGGAGATGGTCTCCGTCGTTCATTGTCTGGTTATAGACCTCCGGGTACTTCGTCATTCAATGATCCTTCTCCGAAATACAAGGAAAGAACATATGTCTTGCTTTGGGAGCTTACTATAGGATTTGTTGGAGGTGTTTTTATACTAAACGACATCCCCCGCTGGGAATCATCTCAGGGCAGAACGCCAAGCACGGTACTTACTTACCTGCTTGGCAAATCATTTCAATAATACATCTTTGTCAAGAGGCACTTCACTAGCTGACTTCCTCTAAATCCCAACGCGTCGTATCAAATACAACTAGAATCCTACGGGTTGAACATCTTTTTGTTGCCTGATTTGTCCGTATGGTCCAGAGAACTCGAGGCATCCTCTGGAAACGCCTGAGAAGCATCCAGTCGACCGCTACACGATGGTTGACACATCCCTACTAGACTAGTGTCCAGGTCACGAAGATTACGTCGAATGGTTCCAAGCGGCTCAGCGAGTGTTCTTCTGCGCGCAAAGAGAAATCAGCAGTCGTGTGTTACACGATACACTCGGATTACTGTTGCCTATGCGGCACCCGAGAAGGCTGAGATGGGCGATGCCGAATTTGAGTGACAGTGAGACACAAGATGTATGTAAAAATAAACGTTCCGGTCCCTGGCATACAATCGAGACGTTTTTTGTTCGTATCTATTGGATCAAGGGAGCTTTTTGGCCCCCGCAGCCTGATTTTGACGATATTCCTTCGCGCGCTAATTGGCTGTGATCCTGCGCGGTGCGACGCACACGATATGCATGTAAGCACGTAGCCTAGTCACAATGATGATCTTGTAGGGGGGCTGGAAGGAATGACGCAGCTGCGCGACTATAGCACAATTTGCCGCTGGTTGAACCATTGATATATAGTGTCTTCGTATGAACATCCTGGAAGCTCGAAACTTCGAGTTTTGGCTCATCACTCGCAAACGCCACCATCAGCGATGTTGAGTAAATGGCAGGCCGAGGTCTTCATCCGACGATATTTGCCTACGTTAGACGATCTTGATTGGATTCTAGGAGCAGTCTCATTTTCAATTGCGTCGCCAAAGGCCGACGTAGCAGTCCGACATGGCGGCTAATCACAACCTTGGGATGGACTTTGACAGCTATGCCTACCAGGCTGGCGGACCACGTTGGCCTCAGATGGTGTACAATATCTACAACTCGAAGGACCCGGCTGGTCCTATAACTGTCGAACTTCCAACCGCTTGGGGGTCTAAATCAATCGACGCCCAGAAAGACTGTTACGATCCGAAATTCCTGTTCCATGGCTCGGCTCCAAACTCGTATGGCTGTGCCGCCATCGCGACTTCAGCGTTACTTGTGCAGAATCATGATTTCGTCGCCGACAAGACTGTCAAAGAAGCAAATTCAAAAATCAACTTTGGATCTCTGGATGAATTCAATGCCTCGCGGGTCATCCAAGCAATCGTCAGCTGCGTCGAAGCATCCTGTACTGGCAACAACCCATTGGGAGACTGTGACCCGGAGGTAGCGAAGCTCAAAGGGAGTCAAGCGGTACCCGGTAGTATGGACGTGGTCTTGAGTGGTCTCACTTCCTTGTGCTCCTTCCTGACGAAAGAGCCAGAAGCTGATATCGCTGGCCCTGGGGTAAGAGAACATGAAGCTGTCGATTCTGACAGAGGGCGGACTCTGAGCTGACAATGCGATAGATTGCTGTGTCGTACTACATACAAGTTGCACTCTGCATCTGGTTCTTTATCTTCTGCGGCCTCCTTCCTCACCAACCAGACTCCTCAACCTTTTTCAGCATGCTACGCGTCATCAGGTGGTTCTTCAGGAAATGCCGCCGACGTTCCGACGCAGAAATTGACCGCCTTCGCTCGACCTTGACACATCTACGCTCGACACGTTTTTCCGTTGCCCTGTGTTCTGCCATGGTGGAGTTCCAGGAGACGCAGGCCTTCTTCGTCATGGCGATCGAGGCAGCGACCCTTACCATGGTCATCATGAACAGCGAGTCTCTCGCCATCCGAGTCGACGTCGGCGCCGCCAAGGCGTTCGCCACGGCCAACACGCTGCTGGTCCTCATCACGCAGGCCATCATGCAGCGGAGGGGCATGTACTGGTGGTACACATTCATACTGACAGTCATTGTCTATATCCTATGCGCCATTATCCAGATGCTCAGCCTCCCGGCACCGTCCTCCTCCACCTCGGATCACGATCTGGAGCTCGTGGAGTGCGGCGGGCAGCGGAGCATCCTACAAACGTGTATGCAGTTCGGCAATGGCGATTACTACTTCGCCGACGGATATCTACAGTCGAGCGACAAAAGTACCTATTTTGTTATTTACACAGCAGTCATGGTATTCCTGACAGCGGATCATCTTGGAAATACCCCTCGTCTACGCAAGGTGAAGGACTCGGCACGTCAGGCTCTCGAAAAGCGCAAGATTCGGATACCTGGATGGGTTTCCACTGTTTGGTCCGTCTTGGGGAAGCTATTATGGGCTTTCCTGGTGTTGATAATGGCTACTTCTCTATTCGCTAATGTGGCCCAAGTCCGCGATTTTGTTCGATCAACAATGGGCAAGAAAAAGCAGTGGACGTTTGGCCAGGTCGTTGCGGTGCTTGTGTGGGCGCCAGTACTATCTAAGTATATTTACTACAACATTTGTAAGTTTGAATCTGGCAAGATACAGCGTGGAGCCTAGGCTCTTGAAGTATGACACAAGGGCTGACTTTCTGACTCTTTCAGTCGGCATTGAGCTCGGGGTTGGCAAGCGAATAGACAATCAGTACAAAGTCGTGCCCAACGAAGAAAATCCACCATCCACACCTACTGGAGCACAAGAACGGTTCGATTCTCAAAGGAACTTGGTAGATGATAGCAGCTACATCAGCTTGAGCACTATTGGGGATGGTCATGAAGATCAAAGACCCGCAAGGGTAGAGACAAGGTCGTTCTCAGGAGGTGTAAAGCGCAAACCGTTATCACCGAGGACAGACACTGAATTGCCTAGATAAGGTGCGTAGGGATGGATAGCAGGTGGATTGAAGTGTCATGTTGTAGGTCTCAATATAGCCCAACCACCTTACATTACGACTTTTCAGATGCGCCGACGTCCCTGCTTGTACTCGAGTACCCTCTAGTGAACTCATTCCTAGGCCTCTCCCAGGCTTCGAGATATTTCCACGATGTGGTATGCACAATAGACTTAGCCGTTCCGCAACGGGTCTCTGATGTGGCTGAGCCTTTTTGGCCTATCCGCAAGGTATCTGAACCTTGCTCTGGCATCCGCAACGGTTGCCCGCAACCTTGTATCATTTCCTGGAAATGCAGCCTTATGAAGACACCATGATGGCCAATATTTTACGGTCCACCTCGTGACGATGGGTTTCCTCAAAGCTTTCTCCGAAATGTCTCTTCCAGAAAGCTATATAAACGAGGCCGATTCTCTTCCAAGACCAGAATCTCATCGATCTCCCAACCCATTACATCACACATCTTGCTCAAGTTGATCGATCGTCTCTCACTTACACACCACCACACCTCATCAACTTACATACCCAACTCCAAACAAACAAACAACCAACCAACCAAAGTCTTCAAGATGCCTTCTCAGACTTCTACTCTCTACTTCCTCACCCTGGCCCTTGCTGCCACAACCTCAGCCATCGCAATCCCAGTCGAGGCTATTCCCACCACTACTGGCACCGCGCCCACTCCCACCATCAGTTCAGTCGTCAGCAGCTCCTCTACACTCGCCGCTGCTACACCCTCTTTTTCGGAAGATGTCCCATCAGAGGCAATGAACTGGAATTGGGCAGCCACCGCCCTTGACCTCATGAAGTCGAACATCAAGGGCAAGGAAGACGATTCCAACATCAAAGAACAGGAGAACGCTTCTGCTCCCTCTTCCATCGAGACCCCAGCTCTGGTTGTCCCAACAATAAGCAACACCTTCAGCACCATGGCCACTCTAGCCCCCAGCAGCTCCGCCATCGCCGCGCCCACACTCACTCTCACCCACGACACCGCAGCCAAGGCCATCCCAACCGACGAGGCCGTGGCCTGGAACTGGGCCCTCCCGGCCCTCAAGCTCATCGAGAGCCGCGAGCTCGGAGACTCCACCTCCTTCGCCAGCCGCCGCACAGGTGACAGAGCCGACAAGGTGGACAGATCCTACGTCGTCGAGGACAAGAGTGGGCAAGATTCCGAGCATCTTCAGCTCGATGAGGCCGCAAAGGAGAGCATCAAACAAGCCGAACCTCCTTCCCTGCCGCTGCAGACCGCCAGCCCTAGCATGGAGGAGCGATTCGAGCCTACCAAAGTCAAGGCTGACTTCACTATCCAAACCGAGACCCGTCTCTCCAAGACCATGGCGACTCCGGCTATCGAGGCTCGCTCTCCCACTCCTATGACGATGCAGCCCGAGCCTACGCCCACCGCTGAAAGCAAGGCGGACTTCACTATTCAGACTCAGACGAGTCTGATCGAGACTGTCGCGACTCCGACGGCTGAGGCTCAGATGCCTGCTGCCACAATCGCGATGGAGGCTTGAGACTCCTCGATGGGCGTGAGAGATGGAATGGAGGATCATTACTACCACAAGTAGTCGGTAGTCCCTGTGAGATATTCTCCTCAGGATAATAGAGTAGAAATACAGAAGGGATTACAAAACATATAACCTGTGACCATGTTCTTGATGCTTACTGTTCCGTAAGGCGAGTAATTAGGACTCGCATATCTCAACTCTTCCGAGTAATTATTTGCCTCGTGAACTATAAAAGTCCAATAGTATTCTGGATTACCTAGTAACAGCGGGGATACTTAAACGCGTTAGATGTACGTCTAAGAGGAATCATGGTGTGAGTGAGTGCCTCGAGACCTGCCAATACGCGCGAAACGGCTACCTCATTCTATTTCAAAACAAATTAAATCAGCAAACTCAACTCCAATCAAAACATCACAGGCCCTCAGCTTTCTTGTCTTATTCCACATGGAATATCTCACTCTGGACAGATAATGGTTTACGGAGATGCCCCTTTTCTTAGGTATAATGGGAAATCGACCGGCGTGTAAACATGATGGAGAGCAAAGGGGCGTGATATCCGCAAAATCAAAGACCATAGCGTACTTCAAAATCTAAACACCGACGACACCGACCAAGTGAGTTGCGGATAAAACGACCAAGATTCACACAGCCATCCCTATTTATACGTGCGTCGAGCCAGTCGGCAAAGTCAACGTGAAAGGGGCTTTCCTACCTACACGCAAACGAGCTTACTTTGAAACGATCCTGAGAGATTACCATTGAAGCTCCTCCTAGACCTGCAGAGCAGTATCCTCCCTATTCGCATGACTCCCCTTCCTCCACCCATCCGTCGGGTCCTTCTTGCTACTAACCCCCTTCTCAGCCCCAACCTTACCCCAACCACCACCACCAGGCGTGTTGATGATGATCCTCTCCCCAGGCTTCATCGGCGCGCTATTCTTCGCTCCCAGATTGAACCTCCGCTCCTCATACTCCACCTCCTCATCTCCCTTCGCCTCCCCAGAAGCACCCTTCAACCTCTTCAACGACTTCTCCCAGCTCCCCTTCTCAACCTTTCTCACCCACACATTCAACCCGGTCTCAGCGTCATCGCCGCCAGCGAGCCCATACGGCCTATACACCCGCCTCTCGCTCAGAATCGACACCTGCACGGGGATCCGGAACTCGATGTCCCTCACGACGCCATCACCGCCCCTATGCTGCCCGTCACCACCAGATCCCTTCCTCAACGAAAACTCCCTCAGAATCACGGGATACCGCCTCTCAAATACTTCCGAGTCTGTAATACGAGTATTCGTCATGTGCGTATGTACACCACTCGTGCCCTCCCAGGTCGGTCCCGCGCCGCTGCCGCCCGCAATCGTCTCGTAGTACCCGAAACCTTTTACCTCCTTCTGCCCCGTCACGTTGCCGCCGAACCCGAACGTGAGGTTGTTGCAGTCGCCCTGGCTTGCCGCACACGCCTGGAAGGCCTTGAAGATGACGTCCGTCACGCGCTGGCTCGTCAGGACGTTGCCGCCTACGACCGCCGCGCCGTCTGATGGCGACAGCAACGATTTGGGCGGGATCTTGACGTTGATGGGCTTTAGGCATCCCTGGTTCAGGGGTATGTCCTCCGAAATGAGACACCGAAGGCAGTAGATGATCGCGCTGTACGTCACGGCCTCAGGGGCGTTGACGTTGCCGTAAACTTCGGGCCCGGTGCCTTCAAAGTCAAAGACCGCCTCGCCCTTGTCAGCGTCGATAGTGACCTTGAGCCGAATCGGGCTGCCATCGTCCATGAAGTCCACAGCCTGCAGATCTTTACCTTCAAATCGCTTGCTAACCTCCTTCAGCAGGGTGCGGACGCACAGCTCAGCGTTATTCTGGATGTGAACCATGTAGAACTGCACAGTCTCCTCACCGTACTCCGCAATGAGACCCTCAATCAATGCGATACCCTTTTGATTCGCGGAGACCTGGGCTCTCAGGTCGTTGATGTTGTCAGCTAAGCATCGGGTTCCGCTGCAACCGGGATACTGTGCAGGTTCGTTATACAACAACTCCGTCACTCTTTTTTCGTCGAAACGTCCTTCGCTGACAAGCTTCTCGCTCTTGATTGCAGCACCCTCCTGGAAGAGCTCCTTTGAGTGAGGGGGCATACTACCAGCCGTGATACCTCCGATGTCCGCATGATGCGCTCTTGAGGCCGCGTAGAAGAGGATCTTGTCGCCCTTATCGTTGAAAGCCGGCATCACGAGGGTGATATCCGGCAAATGGGTGCCTCCGTATGAAGGATGGTTGGAAATGATGACGTCGCCCTTCTTCAAATCACCTTTCCAGATTTCGGCTTGCCGCTTAACGCAGGTGGACATTGAGCCCAGATGAACGGGAAGATGGGGCGCATTAGCTACGAGACCGCCCGTCGCGTCAAAGATGGCGCAGGAGAAGTCGAGTCTCTCCTTGACGTTGGTGCTGACGCTGGTTTTCTGGAGTGCTCTGCCCATTTGTTCCGCAATAGCCATGAATCGATGACCGAAAATGCTCAGCATAATCGGGTCGACTTCTCGTTCGCCTTGGTTCTTGGACGCCCTACAATCACAGGTTAGCGTCATGTTCTAGGATCAGTCTTGATCTTACATACCCATCTTCTTTGGATCCTTCCTTCTCAATGTCGATAACAACATGAGTATCGAGAACCAGTGCAGTAGCCTTTCGCGTGACCACAATAGTCTGCGTGCCATCCGCCAGCATGGCAGGTCCTTTGATAGTCTCCCCAGTGCTCAAGTCTTCAAGCTTGTACACCGGGGTATCGAGTCGGCCCTCCTCAAAATACACCTGCTGTCGGTTATGCGCCTTGCTCTGTTCCACATCCTTTCTCTTCAACTCCTTGAGCTGCTGGTCCACTGTCTTTTCCGCATGCCTAAAGCTCTTTCCAATGCCGCGGACGCGCACGTCATCGACAATAATGTCTCGATCGTCGAGGGTGAACCCAAACTCATAGCGGTGCTGCTGAATGAAAGCCGTGCCAAAATCCCAGTCCTTTGCGTCCTTCTGCTCGTCCTGATCCGGTCTAATAATCATCAACGCCGACTCGGTACCGCGGTACCTCATGTTGAGGTACTCCTCAAACACGATTTCCTTTTCCTCGAAGCCCTGGTCACGCAATGACTTGCGGGACTTGTCTTTGAGCTTCTCCATCTTGCTCTTCAGCTCGTCCACTGCCTTGCCGGGGTACTCCCAGACCTTGGAATCGGGCTCCTGGCGCTCGTCGACGACGTCCGCGAGTGCCATGCCGTAGGCTGACAATACAGAAGAGTACCTGTGAATAAGAATCTGCTGGATGCCGAGGGCTTCGGCAATGGCAACAGCGTGCTGTCCACCAGCACCACCAAATGTCGCCAAGCGGTGCTTGGAAGAATCGTGGCCCTTGGCTTCCGTAATTGACCTGATGGGTCTCGTCATAGTCTCATTCGCAACAGTCAAGAACCCGTACGCCACCTCATCGACGCTCATACTCTTTCCAGTCTCCTTGTTAACCTGGTCTGCCAGTTCCTGCAGGACCTTCTTACTGGCCTCGGGGTCAAGCCCTTGGTCCTCATTCTCGCCAAAGATCTTGGGGAAGAATTCAGGAAGCAAACGGCCGAGATAGAGATTGGCATCAGTCACAGTCGCCGGACCCCCCTTTCGATAGCACGCAGGACCTGGATGTGCACCAGCAGACTCGGGGCCCACGACAAACAGCCCATTCTTCCAGAAAAGCATGGATCCGCCGCCCGCCGCGACCGTGTTGATGTCCAACTGTGGCGACTGGATAGTAACACCAGCAGTCGTCGTCTCAAACACATGCTCGTACCGCCCCTCGCCGAATCGAGAGACGTCGGTGCTCGTGCCACCCATATCGAATCCAATCACGGGGATCTTTGTCTCTTCGTCGTACGACGTGATGGCGTACCCCACAACACCGCCGGCCGGGCCGGAAAGAATGGCCTTGAGTCCGGTGAAGTTCTCCACGTCGACCAGGCCGCCGTCGCTCTGCATAAACTCGCATCGGGCGCCCTTGGCACCTTCTTCCTGCTGAACGCTTCTTGTCCCCAGACCACCTTCAAATCCAGCCTGGAAACCCGAGATGTACTTTTTGATTGCTGGTGTCAGATATGCGTCCGCGCAAACAGATGTCGCTCGCGAAACCAGCTTGATCATGGGCATGAGTTCGTGACTGAGAGAAATGTGCTTGAAGCCAATTTCCTTTGCAATCTTCCCGACCAAGGCTTCGTGGTCGGGAAAGGTGTAGCCGTGCATCAAACACACCGCAATACTTCGGATACCCGAGTCGTAGACCTCCTGCAACTGATCCTTGATACTCTGTGCCTCGGGACGCTGTAATATCCTCACAGCCTCCCCCGATGTCCCCTGAACAAGCTCCTCTCGAGCTGCCTCTGGCGTTCCAGCCTTGGCAGACACTTCAGTCAAATGCCTCGTCGGGTCCTCCGCATAATCCTCCAGCGTAACGCGCTCATCAATCTCGACGACTCTCTCATAAAGCACATCCGGCTTTCGAATTGCCAGGTCGAAGATCTTGGGCCTGCTCTGGTTGCCGATGGCGAGACAGTCCTTGAACCCCTTTGTCACGACCATGGCGATCTTCTCGCCCTTGCGCTCTAGCAAGGCATTCGTGGCCACAGTGGTGCCCATGCGGATGGAATCGATCCTCTTGGTATCGAGGGCCTCGCCGCGGGGGATTTCCCGGTCGAGGAAGTGCGACATGATGCGCCTGATTCCCTCGAGGGGCGCATCTTCATAGTTGGCTGGGTCTTCGGAGAGGAGCTTTATGATTGTCTCTTTTCCGTTGAGCTCGCCGACGCAGTCGGTGAAGGTGCCGCCACGGTCGATGGCGATGCGGATGCCGCGGTCTCGTGAGTCTGAAGCCATTGTGACACCTCGAGGATATAGGAATGAAGGCTCGAAGATTATCCTACTCAGATTCTTGCTTGACTTTTGCAATTTAAAAATATCAAGAAGCTCCCCTGAAAAGCTGAATCAGAGTTTAAGGGTATAGACGAAGGCTAAAGATCATGAACTGAACAAGATGACCCGATGACAAATGATGTTGGTAAGGTAGGTATCGACGTCAACGGGATGATACCACGGAGAGCACTGCCGATAAGATAAGGAGCTTCGGAGCTCCGCACCCCACTACTAGCGTGATCTACCCCGCCTTCCGCACCCTTGGAGTAGTGGACGGCGGTGACATGCTAGTTGAGTGGAGGCGTTCTTGCACTTCCAGCCGTTGAGGTAATGCAGTGGGGAAGCAATTGCATTCGAGGTGTGTACTGAAGTCTACTTAGGTAGATAGAGTACAGATATCAAAAGAAAATCAATTGGAGTGACGAATTAAAAAAGAGTTCACCCCCCTCGGTGCTGAATTGGGGGCTAATCTCTTGGTGCTCATGCTGGGAATCGAACTCGAACTCGGAGCCTGTCGTCGAGTAGGCTGTTGGGCGTAGGTATTTAATTGTTGACCTTGAACCACTCCACCACCCAGCCAGTTTGACCTGACCCGTCGACCTAGACGGGCGCCTGCTGGCTGGTGACAGGAATGGAGTTGGCGGGACCTATATGGGTTTTCTGCGTATTCAGGTGGTAGAATATGCGATGGGATGAGGCCTTGGTAAAGTGCCTGAGGTTTGATCTGCACCGCTAGCTTTCTAGTCACGGGTTCGGTCCAACATTATTGCCTTACGGGATCCAAAGGTGAAGACATGCGGTATTACTTAGTTGCGCTTCCAAAGAATTCTCTCTCGTCCTTGCCTCAGTTCTCCGAGAGTGCGTTTAAAGCAGAATCGTCTCCCCTATAGCTTCAAGCGAAGTAATGGTAAACAGTCAAAGAACGCCGTCAATAGCTTCCTGATGTATATGTATGTCCGTCAATTATTAAGTATGTATGTATAGTAATCTTGTTCTCGTCCCCAGCGATGCCAAGTTGCCTAGCATCGGTCGTTTCCATGTCTTTCAAGTCATATAGTCTTACAAACAGCGACTGCTCTGCGCTGCGCTCTCTCGTCTTCGTATCCGATTGTTGGTACAGAAAGTGTGTATCGCGCCGGCGCCAAAGGGATGAAAAATGGTAGGGACTAGTGGGTGACGACCCTCACAGCCTGGAGCATCATGCCAAACATGAAGCCTCGCGCCACCTCTTGAATCTGAAGACTGTCAAAGATGCGTCCCAAGGCGTCGGTCGTCGCCGCCTGTCCCATAACGCCAGACAAAGCAGCCGGAACACCTCGTTTGATCAAGAGGTTGCGTGCCTTGATGCGCAGCTTTTCCTTCTCTTCCTCTGTCATCTCGGCAGGCCAGGTGGCCCGCTCCTCATCAGTCGGCATCGTATTCTCTCTCAGCTTGCGGAGGTGGTATGCGAGTCCTTCGTCCTTGGTGTTGGCGTCGATGACGGATTCCTGCATCATCTTTTGGATCGCGATCAAGGACGGGTTACCGGGTCGCAAAAGGAACGACTTTGCTGCAGCTAGCAGAGTTCGTCGAATGTTCCAAGCGGATGAGAGCGTGTACATCTCATTAATAATTGCGAAGACCAGCTCAACAGCCACATTGGTTTCCTGCTCCTGAAGAGGAGAGTATTGCCGTGCAGGCTTCGCCTCCTTCTTCTTCGACTGCGTCTGCGGAAGGCCCGGCGAAAGAGCCCCCGTGGAGTTGCGCGGGGAAATGACTTCGTCCATCTTAGCCTGCATGTCCCCTTGAGTAGGCGACTGGTAGTCTTCAGGCATCTCGTCCGGCGGTGGAGGCAGGTACTGAAGGTTCATGACATCGAGGCTCGTGGATGAGGGGGATCGAAGGGCGGGTGACTGCAAAGGCGCCAAGCTCGAGGCTCTACTATGTTCGCGACTGCCAGTAGCACTTGGAGTGTTCCTCTCCCAGCGATCGGAACGAGGCTTGAGGCTGTCTGCCTCGGTATCGCCTCGAGGGTCAAAGCTAGGTCGACGTTCCATAGGGGCGATCTTGCCTGGCTGAGTCGAGACAATCGAAGATCTTTGGCTGTCAAGACTGTCCCGACCCTTCCGAGGGCCCACTCCCGTCGTCGGCGAAGTCAGTGCTGCGTTTAGACTGGTAGTACTGTCCATCCTTGGTGGTGTTCCCGTAGACCAGCGATGATTTGTTGTTTGGATTTCCGACAACGAGGATGCGGTGTTCTTTCTGGGGCCGAGACCGATGTTGTTGAACATGCCAGTCACGCCGCCAAACACTGCCTTGCCGCCCTCCATGGCACCCTTGGGGCCCATTGTCAAGACGTCCAACATGTTCTTGCCAACCGTGTCCCACGGGAGACCTGACTTGGAGTTACTGTGGCCGTGGCCTGAATCTTTCTCAAGGAAGCGTTTCATGCCCTCGCTCTCTGCGAGTGACTTATACCAACAGGCGTCCTTCACATAGCGCTCCAGTTCACCACGTAGCGACGCCCGCGTGTGCGACTTCCAGTTAGGAAGCGCAGCATGCTGCTCGGTAAAAGCTGTCACGCCCGAAATGTTTGCAATACGTCTCAAGATCTCGTGCAGAGTCTCAAAGTCAGAGTACTGCCTCACAATCATCCAGCCGGGGTAGTGAGACGAAGATGGCTCAATCTGAACCATGTAGTCCCAATTGGGCTTGCTTCGAATACGGTTATTGTCGTTGCCATCCTCATACAGAGTGATGGTAGCGTTGTGCAGTGTCAGAGGAAGCTTGCGAGAGCTCTCCTCAGGAACCTCGGGCTCCTCCTTCGCGGGCGGCACGATCTGGTCAAAGTTCAAAAATTGGGATGCGCTCCCGCTCGAGGCGTGTTTGGATGAAGGCTGTTTCGGCGACGACTTCTGGCTGGAAGAGTCCGTGACAGGCGAGTGCATGCTTTCCCGCTTAGAAACGTCGGACTCATTCGACCCACTCGAACCATTCGTTGACGGCTTCTCCGCGGAAGACAAGGACCTCGGTGACAGCTCCCCAGGGGAAGACACAATGTTGCTCTCAGTAGTCTGTACTGTCGGTTTAGACGCCGAGTCAACGCTCTGTCGCGTCTTGACTCTCTTAGCTTCTTCTTCGGCGATCAGAGCATTCATTCGCTTCATCTCCTCCATAGCTTCTTCCATCTCTTCATCAGCTTTGCTGAGCTGCTTCTTGTGTGAGACCAATGATCCTTTGCGGCGCTCGCGTTCCATATCTAAAGAGTTGCGGTTTCCCTTGGTCAGGGCGATGTTGCCGACGTTTCCGTCAATATCAATGAAGGCATTCGCATTGTTGACCGCGCTGGCAGCGCTGGCAGTAGCTGCCTCGGGACCCGTCTGCATGCCAACGTCGATAGCCTGACTAAAGTCTGGTTCTCCGGCTTCCAAAAGGTAGACGATCCAGGCATTGATCCACTCCGGCGACGAGCATGACTGCAAGGTCATCTCAAGAATGACTCCTGCCAGAATTTCCCGGAGGAACACGCGAGCAGGGTCGCAATTGTATGCCGATCGTTCCAGAAACCCAAGGAGGTCGTCTGCGACATTGTGGAATTTTGCAGCCTGTTGAGACCGACTCAGAAGATTGGCCAGATTAGAGTTGGGGTTTTCTTCGAGGTACTTGGAGATGACCTCTGGAGCTGTCGAGTTCGGTTCGTTGTTCTGGTCGGTGAAGGCAGAGGACAACTCGGAGAGGAAGACGATGAACATGGACGACGCATTGGTCATGAAGTCGAGGAATGAATCGGCGGGTCGTTTGCGGTAGAGGTGGTTCGACACGGAGAGGAGAAACGAGTTGAGGAGTCTCCGACAGGAAAGGGGGAACGAGCTGTCCGTCGGAAGAATCGGGTTATACCACCACTTGACGTAGTCGCGGATGACGGCGTCCACCAAGCCAGTCAACGCCTCACGCGTCTCGGGCTGGAAATCGTCGAATCCATGGATAAGTCGATCTTCCTCTTCCTCGTCGTTCTTGGGTGGCTCTGCGATCTTGACCAAGGCCAGGCGCTGAAGGACGTCAATTCCCTTCTCGCCTCGGACCGCCCGGGACACCTCTGGATGGCGCGCTTCGTACGAAATGAAGGCGACAATGCCGCCAAAAGCGCCGATCAGAACGAGTCCAACCTTTCCAAGGATGAAGTATGTCGAAGCTGCCAGGCCGACTGCAACAGCACCTAGAGTCTCGGGTGTCGCGGTCGACAAGAACTTGAGCACTTTGGTGACCAAGTCATCTTCTTCTTCCACCTTTCCACCCGGCTGTTGCGCTTCCGGAATGGCCGCCGCCGTTGTTGAGGCAGCAGAGGCAATCGTCGTTTTCTCTTCGGTCGCAGGGAGGATTGTGGATGGTGTCGTTGTAGTTGTTGCTGCTGTGGTTTCAGGAGCCGGGAGCTTCTCGTCGGTGACGGGAGATGCGCCGCCCGGTGGATGCACTTCGGCCGGTGTCGAGACCATGTTTGCTTAGTTCGTCGGTCTATTGAATTCGGGGGCCGCACTCTCTTTCGCACATCCCTGGCGCTGGAGGTGAAGACCAAGCGTGCATTAATCGAGCAAAGCAAGAAGCAAATTCGAGAAGGCTTCTGGCCGTAAGCAAAGAGCAATAGCAGCAAGCGGCGGTCGTCGTCAGCTGCAGGCGCAAGCTCTAAAAAAAAAAAAGTTGGCAGAGGACAGTTGGCCGACCTTTCCGTAAGGTGGTTTCTCGTCAGCCACACGCAGCTATGAGCGGTAGTGTTTCGAAAAAGTCCAGCAGAAAAAAAAAGAGGCGTGCGCCGACTTGAAGTGAACCAGAATCAGAATCAGATCTCGTTTTAGGGGGGGCCTAAGCGCTGATGGGACTGGGGGAGGACGGGAAGCGAATTCTTGTTGACGTCCACGGTGGAGTTTCCAGCAAATTGGCCCGCCTTGAATGGGAACGCAGATGTGCTCAAAATATTCGCCAAAGCTCTAGACTCCTAATTTTAGTGATGAACCCCTGTACCGGTCCAGTCGCTAGGAGAAAATCCCCGTGTTTCTGGGCAGTGTCTGTCCACTCTGGCTGCTCTGATTCCACTTGTTTATTAAAAACCGTCTGTTGGATCGTCAATAATTGCAGCATGCTTGGTAAGTCTGTACTCCGTAGGCATGGGATCATCAGCATTGGATGGGGGAATTAGATGGACAGATGGACAGAATATGGGGTTGAAACACATCTCAAGCAGCCGTAGAAGGACCATTCTGGTTCAGCTGGTTCAGGAGGCGGCAGATGCGCGCTCGAGGTGAGACAAGATAACGATGTCCCTTGCATCGAGTGACGCGACAGGGTCTCAATGTTGGAGATTAACGTCTTTTAGTGCTCTGCGCCGCAAAATTACCCTCCAACTCCCTCCCGTCCTTGGCGTGCAACGTCTGCCCCGGAAAGTAACCATATCTTCCACCCCAAGTGATTACCTAAGAAACCTGAACGGGGGTTCATCACGTGTCCTCGCGTCACATGTCTATGCGATGCCGATTACGTCACCTGTCCAAAGTCGCGACAGACCACTTTACTCGACAGACCGCAACGCGCCTGCAGTGTCGTTGACAACTCATTGTGCATGCGATTGACAACACATCAGACATTCTCAATTTTTCTAATTCAGCCTTGACAATCGCTGCGACTTTTCGAGCCTTACGTTAAGCCACAATCTCACCTACTATATCACCCATTGGTACCGCGAATTTAGCGAACGTCCAGTCAATCATGCCATTCACCAAGGGTACTAAACGCGCTGCCCCACGCGACTCGCGCAGCGACTCCGAGGACGAGGTCATCACCAAGTCCAACAAAAAGACCAAGACCGCAAAGAATGGCGCAAGCACAGATGGGGTCGATAAGGATGGCAACCCCTTCTGGGATGTGAGTTCAGTGTCTAACTTGATACACCTCATAGTTTAGCCTCCTAACACGCCTCTCTTCCCCTTGACAGCTCTCCAACAAGCGCCGCATAGGCCTCTCCCAATTCAAGAACACCACCTTTGTCAACATCCGCGAGTTCTACGAAAAGGACGGTGACATGCTGCCGGGCAAGAAGGGCATCTCCCTCACAGTACCCCAGTACGAGGCCCTTGTCAAGGCCATGCCCGCTATTAGCGAGAAGCTGCGCGCCATGGGCCACGACGTCGAGGACGTTGAGGAGGATGGTGGCGCCCCCACTGCCGTCGAGGCTCCGAAGCCCGCCGCCAAGGAGAAGTCACGAGCCAAGAAGTCCAACATCGAGGCCACCAGTGACGAGGAGTCGGAGTAGGATTCGGATTCGAGTGACGAGGACGACGACAACGAGTCTGAGTCTGATGCGGAAACGGGAAGTGAGCAGTTCGGTTCGAGTTCGAGTTCCGAGTGAGGAAAAGGGGGCAGGCGTTATTGAGATCAAAAGTTGCGCGCTTCTTTCGGATTTGTTTTGTTACTTTGTCCTGATCATGGCAAGACAGGGTTTGAGGTATGAAAATGGAGTGAGGATATGAGATCAACACGGTGTTCTAAGGAGTTGCAATAGCCGGCTAGCTGAGCTCGATGTTCAAAAGAAGTCCGGTTGTTATCTGACCATACTTTGGGGATTCCCCCCCGTCGAGCTCGTCCTCGGGTTTATGCCTCTATGCTTCCTTAATTCCTCTCGTTCACCTTCCCATCAGCCTTCTCGATGTCTGTTTGAGTGATCGCCGTCACGCAAGATATCGAGCTGGTTCTGGTATTTGCTACAGACCTCCCATAAGGCTGTTACAACCAAGGGGTGCTTCAGATTGACTCATGGTAGATCCAAAGGGGCCGCGAGCGCGGAAGAAGGGCACACACCCGTGATAGAATATCGCACTGTGAGATGAGCCAATGTCGTCAATCTTAAGCCAAGCACCAGATATCATTGTCCCAAAGTACTGTGCTACGAGAACATGGCTGCGCCTAGGAGGGCAGAATCCTCGTTCTTTCTTCGGGCTGTGTAACAACAACGTGCGCGAACTCGGGATGATGTTGATACAGGAATTGTATGGATGAACAGATACCACCTACATCTAATTCGTAGCTTCAGGCTCAATAGTTCGATGTCGTAGATAACGCACCGAAGGTAACGTGTTGAGACTAGTTGGGCAACGCCACACATATAGACAAGGATACTACTAGCTTGTAAAGTAGAAGCGGCTGGGACTTTTGGGGTTCGGTTAGACAGCTCATGTGAGAGACCAAGGCAACGGGATATTCTGTGAGAGGCTATGCATTTTGTATTCCTTTCAAGAAGAAATAGTAGGTCAAGATCGATGCTCAGAGATAGAAGAAGAACCCCGACCCTCAAAGATGAATGGTACGCAACGCCCCTATCTGGAATTTCGATACCAAAGTGGCCAATGTCCGGGATTCTTCCAATACCTTGTGCTTTAGAAGACGCCTATCAAGCCTGCTGTCGCAGTAAATATGAGGCAAGCTGCATCTGATGCTTTACGAGCCAGATAAAGCTAGAACGGTCTAAATTTCTTCAGCTATCATGCTTAACAGAACACCTGACGTAGATGGAGGGAAATTTGGCCCTATTCGAAGTTCTGTTGGAACATTCTTGAGAGACTGTCTAATAGATATGATTAACTCCGGATGCTCACTGGAATTATGGAGCAGTGGACGTCTTTACCGCAAAAGTCTTCCGGACAACCCTCCCTATTCGATAGAAACATTGATTGCATGGTTTACCACTAGCTTTCCATAGCAATTAAGGTTTGTCATAGATTATTGCAATGTGTGATATCTCTGAAGGATGTCTGTGAGAGCTATCCCTATGAAATAGGATAAATAAGAGAACATGCAAAAGGCAGACCTGTCGACGGGTACATTGGGCTGGTCAATTTCCTGCTTTCACAGAATCGTGTGCCATCAAGTATAGTTCGCAAGAACTAGACACAATAACATGTAAAACGATGACCTCGCTTTGCCCAGCGCAAATTAAACAAGACCCATACAGATATCATCATCGCGCAATGATAAGCGAGGCGTTTTCATTTCAAGTACTTCGTACGTTGTACCTGTTTCCGACCGAGGTTTACAGAAACAAGCTCCAGGCTTCAATTGGTGGCCTCAACGTTCATTCGCAGGCACATGCTTCCTTCTCTCCAAACCATCCGTCACCCGGAACCATTGAGAGTTTCCCTCCAATTTCAAATCCCCCAATTTCATGTTTCCCCCATGTCAGATGTTTGATGATCCCACAACGGTAATCATCAGCATTAAATTTCACTAATGCCAAATTTCTGGGGGTCCCCGTTTTAGTGTACAGGTTTGGGGTCCGAAAAAGATGTTAGTCGCCGGTGCTGCCCCGGCGCCCGTTGTAACCCCCCGCAATCCTCCCCTTCATTTCGTTGAAACGCTTCTTTCCTTTCCGTTGAAAACGGTTATCACAAAACGGCGTATTGATTACTCTGTCCGCACGCTGCAGTGGAAGTACCTTTGCACTAAGGTCTGATCCATGTCTAGAGAAAGTAAAGACGTTCTCGCCTTGTTTCAATGTTTTCTTCGCCCTGCGCCACAAATGTAAGAGACATTTACACAGAGAACACTGGAAACTAAGACGTCAAATTCTCACGATCAATGGCAAGTGCTGCAGGATATCTACTCGCGCCATTGCCTCGGGTAGTAGCATTCAGAAATAACGCATTTCTCCCCCGCTCTGGACAGCTGCTCGTCTCCCTCGCAATGCGAAGTTTGGAAAAAACCCTTCTCCTCCTCCCATTTTATCGTCGGGCCCAACTCAACAATCACGACCAAAGCAGCGCATCCGCGGCGTAGCCCGCACACACGGCCGCGAATAAGCCCGGAAACCCCGATCCGCTGACCGGTGGCTGTGCGGCCGGAAGGCCCCCTCCGGTAGACTGTAGATGACGACGACGGCCGCGTCGCCCCCGGTGTGCTATTGGTAATCTCGATCTTGGCCTATTTCTTCCTCCCTCAGCCTCCCTCTAGCTGTTGGCCGTACGAGAGACGCCGAGTTCGAACTCGCCGGTTTATGGCTAGAACAGCGTGAACAGGCTTAGGCTTACATTTAGAGATGCACCAGTGGTGAAGCTTGGAGATTTCTAACTGCTCATACGCTGGTCCCCTCTCCCAATCGTTATCATGGTCACCGAAGAAGACAACGCCGACATGCTTGGCATGAAGAGCAGATGAATCTCCTTTTTTGAAGTTGTCGTATCCACCAGATACATACATAGAGGGTGGACCAGAAGGGCAACTCGATCAACTTGAGCCTTGATCTCCAAGACCTTGTCTTTGGGTTGAGTGTCCTCTGATGGCAGGCTGGCATGGATTGCGCTCTTGCGGCGTCAGCCCTTCCTTACGGCTTCTATCTTGTTTTGCGATCTGCAGGACCGGGACGTGAAGTTCCTCATGCCTCGGGAGCTCCTGGGACCAATACAGGTACGAATACTCACTAGCTAGAGAAGGGGGACAGACGGGTATGTCTGGTTTACTTTTGGTTTCCCACGACGATGAGCTCTATGAGGTTGCCGACACGGTCAAATAGCATAATACATTGCCGTAAGATGCCACGACCGCCACTATCATCCTTTGTTTCGTCAAGTGAAGTCATTTATGCCCTGGTTTGTTCGTTCTACGAAAAGATACCGTGACCGGTGTAGGATAGTATTTGGCCTCCAAATCGGAAGTTACAAATTCTTCCACTTTAGATGGTGCAATACAACAATGGAGCTCATTGACTGCAGTCCATAGGATGAGTAGTCACACTTTTCGACGTCGGCTTTTCGAAGGGTGGATCGAGATTTATAATGAACCCGCCATCAAGTATTGCATATCGGCGTAGGAATGAGGTTCTCCATCGTGGGTTTTGGATGACCACACTCGTTTACACGATGAACCTCTCATCACTAGTTCTTGACTTGACTCAGTCGGCTTATAATTAGGCAGCCATTTAGGAAAATAATTACGAACGCAAACACAGCTTTGTAATATGATTGCCCAATCCATATCAGTCCACAGAAGCTCAGCCACCATCAAACACGCACCTTCACAGGACAAGGGACGAATCAACTTGGCTTCACTTCCACTGAGCGGGAACCAACAACTTGGCATCGTCGCAACCGTCGCGATACGCTGACAGTTAGTATCTGACGATGCCGGCTACGGCATTTACCTCGGGCTGGCCCGCCAAAGTCTAAAAGGGGAGCTGAGGGACTAGGGAGACCGCGGCACCGAAGACGACAGACGGCAAAAAGGTTAATGGGCTTTTGAGGGGGGAGGGGAGCTGACGGACGCCCGCAAGTCCGCAGATACTGGACAGAGGAAAAAAAAAAAAAAAGGGCTCGGTCTAGAATGGCAACAGTGAGGTGCGGCAAAGAGGGTGTGGTGTAGAGTTCGGATTGATTTGAGTTTGGGGAACAACATCGGATTATCGTCATTGATGGGAAGTCAGATATACTCCAGTGGTGGACAGCAGATTTTTGGGGACACAGCTTGGCCACTTGGAGACGGCGGTATCATGTGACGATCAAACAGCAATGCAAGGCCACATGCCTCGGTCAGCGAAGCGAGCTGAAGAGCGTAAAGTAAGGTAAGGCCTTCCCGTTGCATCGCTAAGAAACGGACATATGGGATGGGATGGGATCGGATACCCTTAGATCTCTCTTGTTTCCTGTTCCTGGGATATTCAAGCGAGGGCGCGTCATTCCTCGTGGAGGCGGAGACCTAGAGGAAGCCCATTGGATTACATAGGCGCGAGAAAGGCGAATAGCAGCGACGGGTGAACTTGTTATGGCCGCAGCAGGTTTTCTGGCAACGGATGAGGCGATTCAGCCCCAATGGCGGGGAACAAGGCCGCCCGGGTCGGTGTGTGGCGTCGGCGGGGAAAGAGCCGGGTCCGGGTTGGTGGCTTTTTTCTCGGTGAGGGCAGATTCCGCGCATAAGGTAAGGGTCCTCGAGGGGCTGACAGAGAGGCGAGGTCTTGGGCGCTGGGGTTTGTGAAGTCCCGCGTATTGTGTTTGAGACAATGAGTGCCAGTGGTGGGAATTGTTTGAATGGCGAAGGCTTGAATGCGAGAAGAGAAGACCGAGGAGTGAGGCTGAGCAATCTTGAAGTGGAGACGCAACGGGAAGGCATGCAGGCACATGGCGCACGACAGGTTGGAGGCCGTGATCCGTGGAGGCGTCGTCACCTTGGGGGCAAGTGTGGCGTCGATACGTCTTCTCTTTCCAGTTCTCTCTCTCACTGCGTATGTATTTTTAATTTTATTTTTGGAGACACACGCAAAGGTTAAGCCCCCGCAATGGAACTTCCTTAAGATGCGCATGTCTGTAGAGGTACGTACCTACGAGGTACCTTTCGGAGCACTTGCCCATGGCCCATGCTTGAAGTCTGAGGTGACACGGTGAGTGGTCGTTGGTGAGGAAGGAGGGCCCCACAGCGTTTGACCCCTGGTCATCAAAGGGAAAGCGCCGGTTACCCTGTCAATGGGCTTCGGAAGATGGGCCCCCTCTACTGCGTATGAGGTGCGTGGGTGCTTAGAATTAAACAACGGATCCCAGCAGCACATGCAACCACGGGAACGCGACACATCGAATGGGCGACGAACGGCTGTTGCGGCACTTGCTGATTGCTTGGAATCTCTGGCGATCGTCGCGGGTACCTTGCGCGGCGCAGCGAACAGTACGGAGAAGGAGGGAGAGAAGAAGGAAGGAAAGAGGGCTCCAACTTGCAAGTCGAGGGTGGAAGGTGTCACGATCCAGTATGTTCTTACTGAGCCTTTGAGATTCGGATTCGATTCGGATTCAGATTCAGACCATGCAGGCACCCCGTATAAGAGAGAATACGAAAGCTTGTTGAAAGTGATACTAATGTCTGGCAGATGAACGGACAGAAAGGCCGGGCGGGAAATCGGACAGGTGGACAGACATTTTGACGGCTTGCCATGCCATGCAGCACCTGCACTGGACAGCAGTATGATGTATCCGTAAATTAGGGACAGACTTTCACGTCACTTTCATGTAAAAAAGTTGCCGTCGTCTCTGGCGTGGCCATCCCATCCACACATTTGCTCGACATTGCCGGCCTGGCTGTCTTTTTTTGCTTCAGGGACCCAATCATGGCTCGTAATCAGTCGCATCCCTCACACCCAAACCTGGAAAGCCAGGACCCCCCCCATCGCCATGGTGTTACTGTTGGTTGCCCCCCTCTCCGAAATGGAAGCCTCCCCGCCAGCCCGCTAAGCTCGTCACACGCACCACCAGTCCATAGTCCACCACCACCATCTTTCACAAAATTTGGGTTGCTGGCATCCGCAGGCTTTCAGAGCCGGAGGGGGACCCTGACAATGTCCACCCGTGAGGCCCGCGGCGACGTCACCCGCCCCCCAATTGCTCCGATGAAGGCCACAAATCACTGTCCGCACCTTGAGAAGTCTTCTCGAAGCTCTTGATCAGGTACAAGGAAGTGGGAGGTGTTGGAATATGCACATCCTCTTAAGCACACCAAGTAAGGTACTTGAGGCAAGGTAATCTGGCACTAAGCCGATATCAAGAGTATAGAAGCGAAAGGCGCCGCGCCACACTTGAAACGCGACAACTCAACCTCCATTTTGGATGGCGCAAACTAAAGAAGTACCTACCAATGTACAGTATCCGTAAGATACCTTAGCTGCGGAGCCTTCCTCCAACTTGGAATCCACACTGCCTTACCGATACCGCGTAATTATGTATGGAGCACGCAGTATGAGATCTAATGGAGCAAAGCAAAAAGGCTGACTGCACTTGCACGGCTCCACGCCTGTTTTGTCTTGCTGCTAGCTGGCTGGCTGACTGCTGGTGTTGCTGCTGCTGCTGCTGCGCAACGGTGTTAAACGGGTACTTTCCCTTCCATAGCCTCCACAGCTTGTTTGCGACTGGCAACTGCGCACTTGCGGTCGCTCCTTCAACCATCGCTACCCCTGTCCAGAGGTACACAGTCGTGACAGTGAGGCACTCCTCCTCCCGCTTCCCAAGTAAAAAAAGTCCCATCCCATCAACACAACCCCCCCCGGGTCCCATCCTGGTCATCCTGCGTCCTGCCCTGCCTCCCGCAGACAATCTGCTACGGCTCAATCAGCTTGAAACCGTGCCTTCCCAGGTTTCTCGAGAGACGTCCTCCTTGACCTCTCCCACCTTTCAACGTTTCGACCGAACACATCCCTTCTTCTCCTCCTCTCCCTCACCTCCCTCACAAGTCACATATTCACTCTTCCCGCAGGACCACAGGACCCCCCTTGGATCTCTCCCGTCCACAACCCCGAAACCCGTCAGGCGCATTGAGTTGAGCACCGACCCGCGCGGCCATACCGCATTCCTCACCACAGCCCTCACTGCCCTCCTCAAGCTGTGCAACCCTACCGGCAACCTCCTTGAACAACCTGCCCTGCCCTGCCTGGGATTGGAAGGCCAGAGAGCACGAGCAAAACCTTGCGCACCTCACCCACCACAACTGTACCTCAGTACCTTACCTCACGGGGAAGCAGAAGCAAGAAAGAAGGAAGAATAGGGGCTCAGCTTACCTGAAAGTTGGACTGCCGACAGAGACCGATCCGACGACTCTGAGAGAGAAGGTGCGACTGTCTTGCTGCGCGACTGCAACTCTGCGACTCGACTCTCAGAGAAGCGCCGAACAGTCCCAACTTTCCCATCCTATCCACTTTCCACCTCGACATCTCCTTCCTCTCTCCCCCGCGACACCACTGTCTACCTTCAGCGCCCACCTCAATCTACCTAACGCCTACGGATACAACGTCTCTGACTGGCCAAGATCCAAGTCTGCACAGCACGGCGCATCCGCAGCACTGCCAACAACGCCGCCGGCCTCCCAAGAAGCAGCATCCCGCTCTCCCCGAGGGACGCGAATCGTCTTCCCGATCCATACTCATATCCACTCACGGACTCTCCTGGCCACAAACATCAGACACTGGTTCCTGTGATTGACCCCCCGTACCATCGCAACCATGTCGTATAATCGTTTAGGCAAGTAACTTGGTCCCCTTCTGATATTGACCCTTGGCGTCATTCATCCCACATCTTCCTCTCCCTCCCGCACAAAGCCCAAGACCTGATTTGTCCCCCAATAATCCTCTACTACCCTATGTATCGTCTTCGGTCAAATCATCTCGTCATCCGTACCTGACCGCACTGTCTTTGTCAAAGAGCTTGCTTGTCCGGCGCATACTATCCGTACATCGAGGAAGTACGAATACGCACCTTCCGTGGCGCAAGCTTCTTTTCCTCTTCTACAACTACCTCCTTCTTGCCTCCCTAACATCCTACTTCCGACTTCCGGCAACTTCTTTGTGTAGACGACCAACCTAACCTTCTCTTCCTATAGACGACGATTACTACAACGACCGGATGGACCCCCGGTACCATCGTACGCCTTCGCCAGGCCAGCCGGCCCAGCATGGCTATCAGCTGGAGGACAACCCGTTCAACAACCAGGCACAGCAAGGATACCACCAGCCTCCTCCTCAACATGTCGACGACCCGTATGGACGCCCCAGCCCTCATTCTCAGCTTGATATCCCCATGGCACCTGGCCGCTACGGCACTCCCAGTGATCAATTACAACTGAACGCAGCAGTAAGCAATGCCCAAGACCCTTGATATCGAACTGGACTAACAGACATTCGCACATAGCACTCTGTTAGCAACTTGAGCGGTTACGATACACCAGTCAACCACGGCGACTACGGTGTCAACCCGGAAGCGCATCATGACGCCTACTACAACCAGTCTTACGAGCCTTCACCCCACGATCCTGCACACCCGTACGATCAACCTACTGGATACAACGAGTATGACGACAACAGGCCAATGCTGCCTCACCAAGACACTATGACCACCGATGGAGGATACCAGGACAACCCGACACCACAGCCAGCTGGAGGAGGTATCAAGAGGTGGAAAACCGTCAAGCAGGTCCTGCTTTACCGCGGAAACTTGGTTCTCGACTGCCCTGTGCCCCCAAGACTGCTTAACCAGCTTCCCCACGGTGAGCGTGACGAGTTTACCCACATGCGCTATTCCGCCGCCACTTGCGATCCCAACTTCTTCTACGACGACAACTTCACACTGAGACAGAGGCTTTTCTCCAAGCCGAGACACACGGAGCTTTTTATCGTCGTCACCATGTACAATGAGGACGAGATCTTGTTCGCCCGGACAATGATTGGTGTCTTGAAGAACGTCGAGTACATGTGCAGTCGGAAAGAGAGCAAGACCTGGGGCAAGGATGCCTGGAAGAAGATTGTTGTCTGTGTCGTCAGCGACGGTCGTGGCAAGATCAACCCCAGAACGCGAGCGCTGCTGGCTGGTATGGGTGTCTACCAGGAGGGTATCGCGAAGCAACAGGTCAACGGCAAGGATGTCACGGCCCACATTTACGAATACACCTCTCAAGTCGGCATGACGATCAAGAATGACGTCGTCACTCTGGTCCCTAAACAGCAGCCTGTTCAGATGCTGTTCTGCTTGAAGGAGAAGAACTCGAAGAAGATCAACTCTCACAGATGGTTCTTCCAGGCGTTCGGCCGCGTTCTTGACCCCAATATCTGTGTTCTCATTGATGCTGGTACCAAGCCCGGTGGAAACTCCATTTACCACCTCTGGAAGGCTTTCGACCTCGAGCCCATGTGCGCCGGCGCTTGTGGTGAAATCAAGGCCATGTTGGGTACGTTTGATGAAGCAATTTGCTTCCAGTTTTTACATATCTAACTTGCGGTTTCTAGGCACGGGTGGCAAGCACCTCCTCAACCCCTTGGTAGCGACACAGAATTTCGAGTACAAGATGAGCAACATTCTCGACAAGCCCCTGGAATCCGCCTTTGGCTTCATTTCCGTGTTGCCTGGTGCTTTCTCAGCTTACCGCTACGTTGCCCTGCAGAACGACAAGAACGGTCAGGGTCCACTGGAGAAGTACTTCGCTGGTGAGAAGCTTGAGGGTGCCGGCGCTGGTATCTTCACATCCAACATGTACCTCGCCGAAGATCGTATTCTCTGCTTCGAGCTTGTCACAAAGAGAAACTGCCATTGGATTCTGCAGTACGTTAAGTCTGCTACCGGCGAGACTGACGTACCGGACACCGTTACGGAGCTTGTCCTTCAACGTCGTCGTTGGTTGAACGGTTCCTTCTTCGCTGCTATCTACGCCATTGCCCACTTCTACGAATTCTTCCGGTCTGATCACTCTATCCTGCGAAAGCTCATGTTTTTCATCGAATTCGTCTTCAACACGATTAACATGATTTTCGCATGGTTCGCCATTGGTAACTTCTTCCTGGTCTTCAAGATTCTTACGACGAGTTTGGGCGAGGACAACTTGCTTGGTAGGACCGGCGAGATCCTCGGCGTCGTCTTCACTTGGCTCTACGGAATTTCACTCATGACTTGTTTCGTTCTCTCCATGGGTAATCGTCCAGCCGGTTCCGGTGCTTACTATATCACGATGGTTTACTTCTGGGCGCTTATAATGATGTGAGTATAATCTGAGTGATGATACGATGGCAAGCTTACTAACATCTCCATAGCTACCTGTTGTTTGCCGCCGTGTTCATTGCTGTCAAGGCTATTATCGCTGATGTCAACGACTCGAACGGCTTCAACGTGAGCGACCTCTTCAAGAACCCGGTCTTCTACACCCTCATCATTTCCGTCATGTCGACTTACGGTATTTGGTTAATCGCCTCGCTGCTCATGTTTGACCCCTGGCACATGATCACCTCCTTCGCGCAGTACATGCTTCTTACGCCCACCTACACCAACATTCTCAACGTCTACGCATTCTGCAACACTCACGATATTTCATGGGGTACAAAGGGTGATGATGGCGCCGAGAAGCTGCCTACCGTCAGCACCAAGGACGGTTCAGGAAAGACCGATCTTCCCGACGAGGCTGATCTTAACGCCCAATACGAGCGCGAGCTCAAGGTCTTCAGCGCCAAGTTCGTCCAGGAAGTTAAGCCCCCAACGGACTCGCAAAAGGCTGAGGCTCAAATGGACTACTACCGTGGTGTCCGTTCTGTCGTAGTGTTGGCTTGGATGATCTCCAACTTTGGTCTTGCTGCCGTCGTCCTTAGTGCCGCTGGCCTGGAGAGGATAAGTCCTACCGCCAGTACCACTGACGATACAGATGGCCGTGCCAATATTTACATGTCGGTCGTGTTGTGGTCAGTGGCGGGTCTTTCGTCTTTCAAGTTCATCGGCGCGATGTGGTTCCTCGTCGTCCGCATGTTCAGAGGTGTATGATTGCTGGTGGTTACGAGTATCATGTGTAGCGGGGATGATTACTTTTCTGACGACTTTTGGTTTCGTGAGCATTATACCCACCCCTTTCCTTTGGAGAAGAGGGCTATGTGGATGGCGAACACGACTTTGGAGAAGAGTGTCCGAACTCCTCCATCATGTTTTGAGTACGATCACGGGGTTGGATGTAACTCTAATGACTTTGCTTTTTATTTGACTGCCATGCGCTTCTGTACTTGCTCAACCTTATCTTTCCTCTCTTGTCCCGCCTCTACCCGGCCCCGCCATATCTTGTTGCGTTTCAGGTTCTCTAGTATCACCATGGAACCGTCTTCATTGGAGTTTTCTTTTTATTCATTCTTCTGCATGCCTCGAGGGTCAACATCGTTCATAGCCCTTGACGGGTGATGGCGGTGGTGAACCTTGATGGGCCCCTATTGGCGGAGTAGGGGTATATGGTCCAGAGAGGCGGGTTGAGATAGACGAGGGCAAGTTTTCTGAGAAGAATGATGATGAGACAATAAACAAGACTTTTGCCTGATGTGAGAATGTGCAATGAATGTGCAATGACTCGGTGAATACGAAGGTTGTGAGTGCATGTATGCTTGAAGTGGACAGCAAATTTTCAAAAATCCGAGTAAAAGAAGTAAGACATCTTACTCTCCCCTCTTGATGCGGGTGTTGTTTATTCACTTGTCTCCGGATCGTCCAAACGTTTCAAACTTTCAATGATTTCATAGGTGTAAGGCAGGTGGGACTGGATGAGCTCCAATACGGCAAAAAGAAAAGGAGAAAAAAAAAAGTCACCAGTCATAATTGTATATTTGAACCAATTTGGGAATCGTATTTACTGCTTTTTGGGGAAGACCTCTCACACTTATATAGCCGCAGCGCGGCGAAGGATTGAGAGAACAAGGGAGGCGAGCAGACTCTTTGCACAGAGTGACTTTCAAGTCCCGTGACGATGACCGCCGCTCTACGAGGCCACTTCCTTGCCAAGCCTCTCGAGCTCCTGCTTGATGAACTCGTCGGCGTTGAGAATCTCCGTGCTGCCGTATACCACCCTCCTCCTCGCGCGGTCGCCGCCCGTCCGCTCAACCCACTCCTGCAAGTTTCCGTACTCGTCCATACTGCCGCCGCCGACGGTGAAGACCACGGCCTCGGAGAAGCCCTGACGACGCTGGCCGAAGCTGGCGCCCGTGCCGGCTGCGGCTTGGCCGGGGAGACCACCCGGTGCAGAGGAGCCGCCGGCGCCGGCGCGGATGGCGCTTGGCGGGGGCATTGTGCCGCGGGCGTTGGCGGAGCGGGGGTCAAAGTAGAGATAGTTTTCTGTCTTCGCGATAGCGGAGCTGGCGGCTGTGGAGGGGTCCATGATGGACTCGACAATCTTTGTGATTGTCAGGTCGCGGTTGGCGGGGAGGAAGTTCTTGATGCCGCCGATGAGTGACTCAAAGTTCGAGGACAGGCCAGTAGGGACGCCGCTTTCCTTCAAACGGTCGGTGAGGCGGTTGGAGATGGAGGAGAAGCGGCCAAAGATGTCTGATGAGCCGGCCTGGTTCGTCGTTGGGTTGGAAATCGTGGTGAGCTGGGTCATCTTCGTGGTGGCGCGGACTCTGTGAGAGCGGGTGGTCAGTATCAAAGAGCAGAGCAGAAAGTACTAGTGCTATGTCAGGAGGAACTTACTGTCGGATGTATGGCAGAGAGGTTGTGTCTGCGCCGCACTCTGTCAGAGCTTTCTCGAAGCCTTCCCACTCCGCCCGGCTGACGTCTTGTTCGGTGCTAAGGTACCAGATGACGAACAATCTCAGCTTGTCAACCGGCTCATCGCCCTTTGCACTGTCCTTGATGAGCTCCAGTATTTGAGCCTTGGTCTGCTTCGCGGCGCCCTCCTCGACTTGGAAGAAGTTGTCGAGTTGCCGGTTTTTGATTCCGGTCAGAAGCGCTGCCAAAATGTTCATGTGCATGTCGAGCACAGCCTTACGCTCGCGAAGTTCCGGCAGGAGGGTAATCGCCGCCTTTAGGTGTTGCGCGCTGGCGCTGGTATCATTCTGTAGGTCCTCCAGGTCTGTCACTCCCGTCTTCTTGGTGACTGCCGCCGCGTCCTCCTTATACCTCGTCAACTCGGCGTCGATATCCTCGGCTACTTGAGGGAACGGCACAGCCGCGTTCTTGGTCCAGAAGAAGTCGCTCGCCGTCAAGTCGTAAGCCTTCTTGGTGTTTCCCTTGGCAGGGTTGTTCTCGTCTATGGGCGTCTCTATCGTGATTCGGTTCAACTTCATATTCAAAACATCGTGGACCAGTGATTGGTAGGTCCAAGAATGGGAAAGCATGGGTATTAAATCGACATTTCGGTCGAGAATGATAAGAACAGGTCGTGACTGCGGCGTTCCAGCCGACGCCGGGCGGGCGCTCGAAGAGAAGAGGTTTTCTTTGGAATTGAGAATGTGGTCGCGAAGCTTTCGATCAAGCTTGGCAGAGATCATTTCCGCGGCAGCGCCCTTGGGGCACCGGATGATGGGAATGACGCCCATGGTGACAATGACGCTGAAGAGTCCACTAACAATCCTGTCCACCACCCTGTCTAGCTCCTCGTCATTCGTCGTTGCGCTGTTCAGGGCCCAGTATGTGTGGTCTCGTTGCATACCCAGGTTGAAAAGATCTGGCTCGGCAACGATGAAGTTCAGATACTGATCCATGAGTCTGGCAATGTTGTCCGATGTGCCGGCGGCTATCGTTTGCTCCGCAAAGTCTTCAAGCAGCGGTCGAGGGATGGAGGATAAGAAGTTTAGGTATGCGGGAGTATAAAGGCCCTTTTGGAGATCGCTGGTGATGTGTTGGAGGTTTTGCGCTGTAGGTTCGAGGAGGTAGATGACGGGTACGTCAGGGATAGCATGTCTCGATGCTCCAATGTGCCTGGATTCACGTCAGTAGGACACCGGGCTCTTGAGAGAAGTAGCCATACATGTGCATCGTGATTCCTAGCCCTCGCAGATCACTGACCCGGAGAACACTGCTGATGACATCGCGGCCAAGGTCATCAAAAACCAGGACCTTCCACAAGGGCTCGCCATCCGAGGTGATGATTGCGCCTGACGGGCCAAGTGCGCCGCCGTTGGTCTGAGTGTTCTCGGTGTCGTTATCCGAGTAGGAGTCGTTCAGGCTGAGGAGCTTTTTTAAGGCGGCTTCAGGTCTAATTAGCTCCAAAGCTCTCTATAGAACATGGGCGCAATAGGTTATGCGACGTACAGATCTGGCGATCGCGCAGTGAGTGGCCCTTCGCTGCCATGACGATGGTGGGGGAGCTTTGCAGCTCTAGCTAGCTTGGGAGAGCTGTTGCTGCCGCAGGAGAGGTGTTGATGGGTTATACAAAATGAAGGCCAGACCTGGAGACTGCTATCAAACGTGTATGCTGCGCTTTTTCAATCAATCGTTCTCCGTGGTCGCGTTGTGCAATCGAGGTTGACGTCTTGCTGTTGCGACAGACAGAGGTACGTACACGGCTCCAGCATCGGTGTCCTCAAAGTGCCGTCTAGCCACATTTCCTGGATGATTCCGCCGACCTGCCCTGTGCTTGTGCTGGAGTGGATACCTTAGTACCTGCCTTGCACGATGTCATGGGACGGCAGTACTGAGCCTCCGTGATCCGACGGGCGGTGAGAGCCAGGTCAGCTTCTACCTACGTACCTAGACACGCTAAAGCAGATTGGGCCGGCGAACTGAGTTGCGCAGCTGCCGACAGAGGCCTGTGGCTAAAAAGGTGCAGCGCGGAACTGGGAAGGCACGAGGGCCCTGTCCAGTCACAGCCAAGGCAAGTCAGGTCCGTCCGTGGCCCCTTCCGACTTGGAAAAGTGTTGGCCCCTTCTGGCTCAGACCCACCCTCGCAGTCAGTCATGCCTAAAAAGTGCGGCCACAAAGTGACCTACCTACCCGCCTCCCTTTGGACTGGCCACTGCGAAACAATGACCAGCTTTTCCTCCTCCGCAACGACAGCTCATCCCGCTTCTTCCTCCTTCACCATCAGCACAAGTCATCGCCAACCGCACGGAAAATAATCGACAGGAAGACGCGTCGGAAAGGGTCTCTGGCGACAACTCTGAGCGACTCTGGATCTTTATTCTCCGGAACTTTTGAAGGCGGCACCGGGCATTTAACTTGCCTGTTTGATTGCCGCTTCTTAGATTTACGGCGATCGTTCCATTTCGTCCCCTTCTTTTTTGTGACTGTCTGCGCTCGCTCTTTTCTTCGAGCGGTCGACGGTCATGTTGTAATCTGCGCGACCTTCATCAATCCACGCTGCGAACCACGTTAAGGTCGCGAAGCCAGCTCTCCCCAGAAGGCAAGATAAGTCGCGCTGAACAGAGAGTGAGAGAGAGACACGAACTGCAGGGTATGATACACTTCTCCCCCCAAGCCAACCTCACATTTGTCCCCTTTCCCACGCTTCCCAACACCTCCCCTTTCCCCAAAATCACCACTCATCTGTCCAACACACCGCCATCATGATGAGCGCGATTCCCATCAGCATCATCCGGTCACCATCCACTCCTCAAAGGAGACGCAGACATGGCGATGTTTGTTTGAGTGAAAATTCTTGATGAAGCCTTGGCGTTCGAACTCAACCCGCACTGGACTTGTGCAGCGATAAATTTGCAAAGTCGGAACAGATCAGGGGCAGACGCAGACACTACGCGCGTGGAAATGTGGACAAGGACACGAGTGAACCTCATGTTTAGAATGTTTTGCAAAGCAGAACGCCTTGTTCCGCGGCGCGGCGGGCATCGGTTGGTACATCCACCATGCGAAAAGGGATACAGGAGGGCCAAGAGCAAGCAGACCGGGCAATTCAGACGGCTCAGTTCCTCTCAAGGATACTTGTCGATGTTGCGAAGAGTGGCTTTCATCCTCCACCTCTTCAGCTTCGCGTACATCAATCCCACTCCATTCGACTTCGCCATTCAAGACTTGCTGCGCAAGTTGCAGACAGATGGGATATTGGATTGGGTGCAGAGGGCGGGTCTACGGGCAGTGCACCTGACCCTTCCCCCCCTCGACGTGCGCTGTCTCGGGCCTTGGACCTCCACCACAGCGAACGGTCGGCTGGATGTAGCCCACTGGAAACAAGGGACCACCCAACACCTTCTGGCCACCTCAACTCAGCTCTCCTTCACCACTCGCCGTCGGCTAGGAGACAGACAATCCACGCTGGAAAACAGAAGCACTGAGAAAAGAACGTCTGCCATTGAAGCCAAATTCATCACCTCCCGGCGCGGAGTCAATTTTCACTGCAAATCAATCAAGCGTCCATCGCCCATCAATCACGCAACCCAGGAAAACTGTCAACAAACACTTCAATGCCCTCCATCTCCAACTTCGCAAGAGGGCGACCTTCCCAGCTTCTTTAAGTGCTCTTCAGGAGTTGGCTTCTCCTCCAATCCAGCACCGCTCGCGCTTCAAGGGTCCCATCAACTGCGCCTTCCACAGGCACCAAAACATCAAACGATTTCACTACAGACCAAGTGGTCGGGGGACAAAAATCGCACTTCTACATGTCAATCTCACATCGACACTTCATACACAAACCACACACGCCGTCTTGCCATATCCATGCCGTTCCTGATTGCTAACCAACGTTTACAGTTCTCTCCAGGCAAGATACAACACGATCGCCCTCCATCATTCCCCTACCATCACAATTCTGTGTCTTCGGCGCATTCACCACACCACAATCCCTGCCGCCTCGACGCATTCAGACTAGTGCATTCCTCCATCACCCACTGCTACATCAAGGTAAGCTGCAAGCCGACGGCCGGCAATTAACCGCTCCGACCCCCGTCCTTCTCCACTTCATGTTCCTCGACAGCAAGTTTAGCCGGGAGGAATACCTTTGAAGATTTTATTCCACCCATCGAACCTTAACTTCCTCCAAACTCTTATCTCCACCCCACCTCTTGAAAGAGTTTCTTCTCCCATACCCCCAACGCTTCCATCCCTGGCAGCCCCCAATCAGCGTCGAGTTTTCTTCCCTCGCTCGTCTGATCACCCTGCTGCACCGTCACGCTAGAAGGCGTGCCAAAAGTAGTGCACCTCCATCGGATAGATGCTAATTGGCTCCAGCTGTGCAGTGCTCTCCACCAATGATTGTATGAGGATTTCTTAAACTTCATCGTCTCTCAGAGCGTCTTCTTCCATAACGGAGGAAGAGGCCGATATAATGCAGAACTGGCAGCAAAATGGCCAGACGGGTTCTGCTCAAGGCCACAATAATATGTGGTCGGGCTCCTACGCGTTCCCTGATGGATCCAACCAGTTCGATGCCTCCCAAAATTGGCAGCATCAAATTCCCAACCAAAATGCTTTCCCACAACTTGCCCCACGAGGGGGAGGCAACACAAACGAGAATAATCTCTATGCTTCACCACATCAAGGGCATGCTGTCGTAGCCAACGACCACAACGGCATGTCGACATTGAATCACGGAAACTTCCATAACGGCCATGGCCAATTCTCGCTTGACACTGCATACACAGACGCTGGCCAAGAAGACCCTTTGGCTAGTCTAAGTGAATACCCCCAAGACTTGTACGGCCAGCCGAGCAAGGCTGATTTTAACAACGCCAACATCGACAACCTCAACCACAGTCATACTCCTGACTTCACACAGCAACAGTTTCAATACAACGGTCAGGCTAATCAGCTGTTCAATGGAAATGTTCCTCAATATACCGAGGCTCAACTCATGCCTCAGCATGGCCACCAGTCCCAGGCGCAGCTGCAGCAGCGCTTCGACTCTGTTCCCCAGTCATTCTCACCCGCTCCTCAGGGCTATGTTCCATCACCTCAACAACATCAGGCTCAGCCTGAGAGAGTCTTTTCTCAATCACCTCATCCCTTTCAGGGTCAGCCGCCTCGTCAACAAAACAGCCAGGGATTCTCTACTCAGACGCCTCCGCCATCTTTCCAGCAAAATCAACCGCCGCAATACCAGCAGAGCAAGTTTGTCCCTCAGCAAATGTCTTATGCTCAGCCTGTAGCAAGATCACCTTTTCAACCCGTTGCTGCAAGGCAGATGCCAGGTCAGGACTCGACACCTCAGCAATCTCCGCAAGCCCAGCAACAACAACCAATACACCAGGCCAAGCCAGTCCCTTCACCAGCGCCGGCTCGTCAAATTCAACCACAACAGCTACAGCCGCAGCCGCAACCACAGCCGCAGCAGCTATCACATCAGCCGCAGCAGCAGCAGCCGTTGCAGCCGTTGCAGCCATCACAACCGCAGCTCATCGCTGCAGCGCCGGCTTCTCAACCTGAGACGCCTATCATCGACCCTGCACTCCAACCTGAGCCGGCGCCGCAGAAGAAGCGCAAGCGTGTCGTCAAGAAGGAGCCCGAACCTGAACAAGCCGACTCCCCTGGCGATACGACTGTTAAAAAGGGAGAAGATGGAGAAACACTGGTCCTGCCTTCTAGCACCGAGGAAGAATTGTCTCTCCTGGCACAATTCAAGAAACGCAACGCCACATCCAAGAAGCAGTTCCCTCCCATTCCCGGAGCTTCGTTTCTTGTTGCTACTGGCTCAGCCAAGTTGATCCCGCCCAAGAGTTACGACCGACTCGCGCCTCTAGTCGCTTTGCCGTCGCCCAATGGAAGACGTATCTTGCCCGAACTCCGCCCCGATCTTCCATGTGAAATTCAAGGGAGGTTCATGGAAAACTACAAGCCGTCCCCAAACTTTGTCGGAAAACCGGACGATCGCGAGACGGAGGCAAGACCCCTCATTGACCAATATCAACGTGAGATGACGAGCTTGGGTCTTCGGCGACCTAAGTACGCCGACTACCCCTTCGCCTTTCAGGAACAGCTCAAGGCCGACGAGGCCGCCAAATCCAAAGCCCAGAGAAAGGCTCGAAAGGAAGAGGAAGAAGAACGAAAGAAGCCCATTCGTCCTGAGAAGCGGCCAGCAGACCCTATTGAGGGTGCTGTCTGGGACATCCTTGGCATTGTCTACATTGATCCTTCCGCGACCAGAACTAATGCGCTCATTGCTGGCGCCGTTCAGTCTCTCGGTGAGTTCTTCATCAAGCTGAGATCGGAGACGAACCGTTTGAAGCAGGAACTCGATCAGGCAACAAAGGAGAAGAAGCCTGAGAAGGAAATTTCAGAGTGGAATAAAAAGCTCGACGTCAAGAAGGAGACCTTCACTCGAGTTTGCGAAGCGGCAGCCAAACACGGCGATGAGGCCGTGCTGGAGAACTTTGGCGGTCATCAGAAGGGCATCTTGAGTCTGGTCAACATGTTGATAGGCGCCATCAAGGCTGGTGATTTCAGCGGACCTCTGCCCAAGGCTCTTCTTCGATTCATGTCAAATATCAGCATGTTCAAGAAAGTTACAGAAGCTGTCAACTTCGAGAATGTGCGGAAGCGCCTTGCTGACAAGGGCGATGCTGAGGTCAAGGAACTGGTCCGTACGATAGCGTCGAGGATTAAGAAAGACACAGAAACAGCCAACGGGGTCGAGATCAAGAAGACAACGTCGGCTGCTCCTGTCAGCAAAGTCACCAAACCGATCGCTAAGCCTATTGATGGCTCTCCTGCCAAGAGAGTTCGGGATGAGGAAACCGATTCTCGCATTACCAAGAAAATAGCCGTCGAGTCAACAACAGGTGGTGTGCTAGGTAACAAGGTCGGGGCCAAGCCGGTTGCCGGAAGTCTGCAATCCAAGTTTGCTGGTGTAAAGCGACCAGTGCAATCGACTACCCTTGCCAGCAAAATTCGGGCGCCTAAGCCAGTTGGGACAAGGGACGTCCCTAAGGGTGAGCCTTCGAAATCCGAAGGACCCAACACGGCCACGCCTATGGATGTAGACAAGAAGCCAGCAGCATCAGCAGTCAAGCCCGAGTCAAGGGCGTCTGCTCCCAAGGCCGCTGTCTCCGGCGGCTCCTCTTTGTCCAGCATTGCTTCTCTACTCGACTCCATTACCGCGCCTAAGCCAGACGGGCCCTCAACACAGGCGAAGGATTCGAGCAAGAAAGATATCTCGGAAACACCTGAACAGAAGGCAAAGCGACTTCGTAAAGAGGCCCGCCGCCATCTACGTGTCAGCTTCAAGCCCCCTGAAGAGCTGGTGGAGATTCGCATTTTCACCAAAGAGGTCGCAGAAGGCGAAGATAATATGACCAAGGACGCAGCGGATGACCGATCCGAGGGAATGATGCTCAAGCAGCGTAATTACAATGAGGACGATGACGAGGAGGACGAGTTGCCAGAGAAGCCTTGGAGCATGCCTACCCTCGCCGACCTTTCTGGAATCCCCGAAGACATTCGCAAAAAGTCTTACGTCACTCGTGGCGGTAACCTGACTTTCCACACAGAGGAACAGAAAGCCATAGAGGAGCGGGAGAAGAAGGAGCTCATGGTCACCTACATGGACATTGCCGACATTCCGCCTACACCCAAGTCTCCAGCCCCCGAGTCTGCGACGGTCACGAGCGATTCTGAGGGCAAAGTCTATCAGTTGCCTCAGGGTGAGCCGAAATTTGACGAGATCCACAAGCGCTGGAAGGAGACACAGACATTCGGTTGGGAGGCGGCGCAGTACTATGCTCGCAAGCGCCTTGATGCCAAGGACGACCCCGGTGCGAAGATCAACTCGATTTTGGGCAACCTCAAGCCAATTGCCCCGGCCGTGGTGCCCGAACCGTACAACATGACACCGCCCAAGGAGCACGCGCAGCCGATCCTGCCTCCCGCAGTGGAGATGCAGCCCGTTCCGGCGATACCTTTCGACGATAAAGTCCACAGCATTCTCACCTCCGACGAGGTGAAGACCTGGCGTGATGCCAACCCGTTCAACTCGGCTGCCCCACAGACTCACCGACGCTACGACTATCCGGACCCCAACATTCAAGCAGCCGCCAACCAGGTCGAGGAGGCGGCTGAGACGTTGCGAGGACTGCCATACCCGGCGACTAGTCCACCAGCATACTTGGCAAATGACCAGGAAAGAACGAGAGAGTGGTGGGCCGGATACCAGAAGGACGTTGCGGTGAGAGCCAGGAAGGAGGCAGAGGATACAGCTCGTAACGCACCCCAGAACGAGGCCCAGACTCAACAACCCGCTGCATCTGAAACTCAAGAGCAGCAGTGGGCAGCTTATTACCAGCAACAGCAACAATACGCACAGTACATGGCCATGCTACAGGGCGGACAACCTCAGCAACCAGCTCAAGCAGCACCTACCCCGGCTCCCGCGGCACAGCCTTCACAAGACTCTCAGCTTCAAGCGATGCTCGCTCAGATGGCCCAGCAGCAGCCGGCATCGCAAGGCAACGCATATGGGCTGAACGCATCAGACACTGGCTACCAGCAGCTGATGATGCTCGCACAGCTCCAGCAGCAGCCTCAGCAGCAGCAGCAGCAAGCACCGCCTCCGCCAGCCGCTCCACAGTCTCCGCCTGAGCACGACGCGAACTCGTATAAGCCTCCTCCCCACCTTCAGCGCCAGCTTGTGGACTACAGCGACCGAGACACTAGAGACGAGTTCGAGCATCACGGTGGACGCGAGCGGGATAGGGAACGCGGCCGTGATCGTGATCGCGAAGGAAAGGGTGGTAAGCAGGGCAAGAACCGCAAGGGCAACGCTCCTGGCGGCGCCACGCTCGCTCCCCATCGCCCTGTCAATCGGGCTCTCATCGGAACCAAGCCTTGCAGCTTTTGGCAGCAGGGCAAGTGCGCTAGAGGGGAGAAGTGCACTTTCAGGCACGACAATTAAATCTGCAAACGCCATGCGGACTATGTACATTCTAGTCACAGTTGGCTGGATCTGGGGAACAGGAACCCCGGGATTTTCTTTTGTTATAATACTCGCCGAACCTGGGAAGCGAGGGATTCGGACACGTCCCATGAGGCAGAGGTTGGGAAAACGAAGACAGCCCGGGGAATGTAACAGGGCAGAGGTCTTTTTTCCTCTTGTTTTTCGGCATAGCATTATCAGGAACTGGGGTCTAGCATTTGCATCAACGAAGTCGTGGATCATGGAAACAGGGATGGGTCTTGAGGAAACATGCATAACAGGACTGGACGGGGGTTTTGAGATGATCATTGTTGCGGCCACTTCGCGTGCCGCTTACTTACCTGGTCCCAATGGACCAGACCAGTACCTTTGTACACTAGCCACCACGTTGTCCACGAATGACAATAATTCCAACATCAGCTGTCCCTTGTGTGAATTCAGTGACTCAATATGAATGAACATATGGCGGGGTTGGTTCTACGGGGTTTCCCTTGCCCCCCCCCCCCCTTGTGAATAGAAGAAATCCCACTATATCAGAGAGGAGAGTAGTCCCCGCAAAGAGTCCAAGCCAAAATGTTGTTCGAGGTTTCTAGTTTAGAATGCTTATGGATGATTGCTTCGGCAAAGAGGTCTATGTAGCTGTGGACTGTCCGAATTCAACGACCTGGATCTCATTTGAGGGAGATGAATCAACCGCTGAATCTCGACGAGCACCCCAAAGGCAAGGAAGGGAGCAACATTGCCTAAATAACACTAAGATTACCAGAACACCACACTCTATATTATTACCAATATATCCGTCAACTTTAGACTATCAAGTCAACCAGGTACAGAAAAATAAAGCACTTTGTAAAAACTAACAATAAAAAAAGGAAGGGAAGGCAGCTGGTGATCACGTACGCTAGAATTCACGCCCCTGTCCGGACTCGAACAGCGCGCCCCTCGGACCAGCACGGCTTCATTGGAGTATTTGTTTTTAGCTTTTCTGCGTCAGAGTGTAAACCACCCGGCCATTTGGCCGGATGGGTGCTGGTGACAGGAGAGGTGAATAGACTCCTCATGTAGTAAGGTACGGTGGCCAGCCTTGTTCGGGTGAGGGAGGGGGGAGGGCAGGAAGGGGGCGTTGAAGTGGAAGGAACGAGCGAGGTGAGGCTTTTGGGCGGATGGGAGTCATGTGGAAAGAGAAGACGACATCACCTTCACCTTGATGAGCATGAGATGCGTCTTTGGTTACTCCGCGGCAAGATGCCTTACTTTCCATAGTTCAGGCCAAGTGGCTGGTTGTATAGATTCCTTCGTCTTCGTGTGTCGAATCATAATCTTGCATACCTTAGGTATCTCAACTTACATAAGTTTACCCTTCATTCACCTCCCATCGTCCCTCAACCCAACCCTCATCTGTCCCTTACCGCCCCTATTCGACCGAAAGTAAAACGGCACAAACACAAGCTCCCTCTTCGTCCCTTCCTCACCCCTGGCCAGGACCTCAGGCGACCGTTCCCAGCCCGTCGTCTTCAACGCGAAATACCCCTCCCCACTCTTCTCGTCAACCCTCCACTCCTCCGCCACGGCCGTCCCCCTCTTGATCCCCACGTTCTTGAAGTGATTCTCCTCCCACGCGTGATCGGCGTCCTCGACGCAGTACACGATCGGTCCCCTCGCCAGGCTGAGCGTGCGCTGGTTGGTGTACGGATGGGGCGCGATATACCGCGGCGCGAAGCTGGCGCCGCCGACGTCGAGCGAGAAGACTGGGTTCGAGGCCGTGTAGGAGGGGTCTAGGCGGAGGTAGCCTCCCTTTTCGAGGGTCGCCGTCCCCGCGGGTGGCGTAGGTGTGAGGACGTGGCCATACTGTGCCGCCCAGGCTGGGATGCGCAGGCGAATAGTCGTATCGAGGGATTCTGCGCCCTTGAGTTGGAAGAGGATGTTGCCTTCCCACGGCCAGTTGGACTTTTGCGAAAACGTCACCTCGGCGCCTTCCACCGGGAACTTCACCTCGGCGCTGGTATACAAATGCACATTCACAAACGCCGCCCCCGTCATCCCCTCCTCACCCACACCACTCCCACCCCCATAATCCCAAAGATACCCCCCCAAACTCCCAAACAGCCTCGTCACATTCGGCGGACAACAAGCGCACACGAACCAGTCCTCCCTCTCGCTCCTCGCCGCCTCGCAGCTCGCGAGCTGGTTCTCGTACGTGAAGGCTTTACCGTCGGCGCTCATGGCCGTCATGACGTTGTTGTACAGGCACAGCTCCATGACGTCGGCGTACCGGCCGTTCGGCGCCGGCCCGTCGGCGTGCAGCAGGCGCTCCGCGAGCATCATCACCCCGACCGAGGCGCACGTCTCGGCGTAGCAGCCGCCCTCGTCGGGGCCCTGCGGGAGGAAGTAGTCGATGCCGAAGCCTTCCCACTGCGCGACGGCGCCGACGCCGCCGGTGAGGTACATTTTCTTGTCGACTGTGGAGGACCAGAGGCGTCGGAGGGCGACGAGCCAGGCTGGGGCGGCGGTCAGGGGTCGGACTGGAGCCGTGCTGCCGCTGCTGCTTTTCTGTGAGATATTCAAAAGGTCGGCGGCCGCGATGAGGAGGTACATCGCCCTCACGGCATGCCCCTCGACGGACTCCTGCTCGAGGATCGGGACGTGGGCCTGGCAGTACCAGTACGACCTGTCCATGGGCCACGAGTTGGGCCGTTTCCAGCGCGGCTCGTCGCGCCGCTCCATCTCCCAGTCGTAGTAGTGCTTCCCCCCCTGGCCTGTCGGGTTCCCGCGCTCCTCGAGGAAGAAGCGCGCGAGGTCGTAGGCCTCGGCGTTGCCCGTCGCCGCGTAGCACCGCAGGAGGGCCAGCTCGATTTCCGGGTGGCCCGGGTAGGCGCGTATCTGGCCCTCGCCGGGGCCGAAGCGGCGGTGGATGTGGGAGATGTATTTTGCGATGGGTTCCATGAGGAGGTCGTTTCTGTAGTATTGTCTGTGTGCTAGGGCTGCTTCGATGAGGTGGCCGGCGTTGTACCTGTGATTTTACCTCGTGAGTCTTTGTTGTAATCTACGTGGTGAGTTCGAGTGAGGATTTTACATTTCATGCATGTCACGAATATTCGTCCACCTCTTGCCCGGCTCCACGACGGAGAAGTGAACGTTGAGGTAGCCATCCTCGTGCTGCGCGCCGCGGATCATGGCGACGAGCTCCCGCACGGCGGCGTCGACTTCCACATCGTACTCTTCCACGAGGAAGTAACACGCGCCCTCGATCCACTTGGCGACGTCGCTGTCCCAGAAGAGGTGCAGGGGCGCGGGCCAGCGCGAGCGGTCGTCGTAGATGGGGTGCCAGCCGAGCTTGAAGCAGTCGTACTGGCCGTTGGCGCGGAGCTGGGAGAGTTGGGCGTGGACTGTGGTGCGGGAGACGGTGGCGCGGCGGGTGCGGAGGAGGGAGGGGGCTGTGAAGGTTGTTTGGCGGAAGGTTGTTTGTGGGTGGGACATTGTTTTATTGCTTTCTGCCCGGGGATACTGTTTAGGTAGATCGGGGGTTGAGGTATGATGGGAGGGAGGGGGGAACTTGAAGGTGGCACGATGTGTGGGAGAAAGTCATAAGGAAGCCCCTTGGTGAAAGAGAGGGTCTTGGCGGACGTCGAGATATAAATGAGATGGCGGATTGGGTATTGAAGCTCTGATGGAGCAAGGATGCAACTCCGAGCTTGAGGTGCTTAGGATCGCCGAAAGAGGAAAGTCGAGTTGATAAGGATGCGAGGTAGTTTCGACAGCAGAGTTCACCGGTAGATAGGATTGGATTCAAGGAAACAGAGGTAGACAAGTAAGGATGAACGTGAAATGGCTTAGCTGGAACTGAGCTCTTGATCAGGGCAGACGAACTTCACTAGAAGCTCATTCCAGATACGAGACATGGGACCAATCAGACGAAGCCTTCCATCCCGGATTCTGAGTGAGTGACGGCCGATCTCTTGTGCGGGGTCAATTCGCCGGCCGGGCCGCCCGTCCGGGATCCGGCAAGCTGCCCGAGACTTTGGGTACCCATGATGTGAGATAGGCTCACCGCGACCGATCTGAGATATCGGGTCAATGCCGTCCGGCATGTACTAGATTGAGTTAAGAGTTGAAAGTATGGCCGAATTGCCGAGGACCTGGTAAAGATGCGCAAACGTGAGACGCGAAGAATTTGGACGCAGAATTTTCATGACGGTCATTGAAGTTCAATTGGTAGCGTGGTATCTTAAAAGAGGTCATCAATCGCCTTATCGGCATCCTTCTTGATGAGATCAACCATGCCCTACAGAGGTGTCAGACTCACACAGTTCTCATCTCATGGAACTTGCAGAGGAAGTTTCGGGATGGGAAGAATATTAAACTCACCTCTGGCATAATGGGCTGACCGTCCTTATCCGTGACATACTTGAAGGGCATCTCGGTGCTCTCGTGCTCACTGAACTTGAGCTCGGGGTATGTGACGTAAGGAATTTTATCCAGCGGTGCTGTTGTTACCCGTGAGCATCTCATCTGAGTTATGCGATACTAGGAGGAGGGTGGTTGGCACGTACTCTTCTCCTCGACGACGATTCTCGTGACGCGGACTGCTGTGTCAGTCGTCATCTGGGTGGGACCCAGGCGTCTGCCTTCGAAACCCTTCTTCCTCAACTCGGAGGTGCGGTCTGCAGGGGCTAGTGAGAAGGGGTTTGACATTTAATGTGACCAACCCAAGGTCACGAGTGGAATGGTAAGGAATACTATACCTCTCGGGGGGTCATCACCTAGAGAGAAGGCTATAATCAGCAAAAGGTTTCCATGAAGAATGAGATTAATTCGCATCGGGGTGAAATGACGTACCCAAAATGCCACCAAAAAGGAAGGCGTCGAATTTTTCACCGTCCTCGGGGCTCAGGTCGCTGGCGGCGGAGGGGTCGAGCAGGCAGACGCGGGACTTGTCGGCGGCGTACAGCTCCTCGACGCCCCGGTTCTCGGCCTTGAAGGCCGGGACCTGCTGCAGCTTCTCCGGGGCGACGAAGCCGGCGGGCAGGGAGGAGAGGAGAAAGGTGCCCTCGGCGGCGTGGGTTTCTCTGGCGATGGCGATGTACTCGAGTTCGGACCAGGGGCCCAGCTCGGGGTCGAGGTGCTCGACAATGTACGTCTTGCCTGGCATTTTTTTTGCCTTCTTTTGTGTATTCCCGGAGGGTTGTGTGGATGTTTCGATTTTTTTGTGTTTGATACCTTACTACCAGGGGGGCTGACTTGTCAAACTGAACTGGCTTTGTTTCTTCCCGCTTCAGGTGGAATGGCCAGGCCGCGTAATAGCGCAAAGATTTGGGGTGTCAGGCTGTTTGCTGGGGGTGGGAGAAGTGAAAATGGGCTGAAATTTGTGGTCAAACGCTTGTTTTGGAGTCCATTGATTTTTTTTGAGAACTTGCCCTGGATCAGATTTAGGTGCCTGCCCGCTGGGCTCTCTCCACTTGAGCCATCGCGGGCACCCTTTTGCGGCAAGGTGCCAGATGCTTAACGCTCCTAGGCGTGCCCTAGCATGTACGCCTCTGACGCCTCTTTTGGCTTTATTCATTATCAGGTAGGTAGGTACGGATACTCATTCGATTTCTACGCGGCACTTAAGAAAGCTAGCTACACAGCAAGGAAGTGAGCGACCTGTGGCTGTTCCGCAGGTTCCGCATAATTGGCTTTCACTTGGCAACGGCTGTGCCGGTGCGGTCCCATAAGCATTCGTTCGGCATGGTCAACGTGGAGTTGCATGGACTGAGTATGCCGTGACGGGGCTCAGTGTCGGTGCCGGGAGCGGTCCTTGTGAGAAGGGCTGGACTTCTTTCCGTCCTGCTCAGGGTCCTCATATCATCAGGCACATATTGTTATTAAAGAAGGGGCCGAAGGCGGAGGGGGAGGAACGGACAGGGCGGGCTGCTGTCTCAGGTTACAGATGCTTTAAAAGATGGAGAAGATGTATGCGCTTACGCGGTAACATAGTGAAAGCAGCGTATTACATAAGCCGGGTCTCCGAGCCCAGCAATCCGGGCGATCTGTGCTTCGGATGGGTGCCAAGGGGAGTTTCTAGTGTTCCACGCGTATGACTGTCTACATGTAACCTGACCGGTATTCTGACGGCTCCTGAGCATGATGAGCATGTCATCCCGGGTCGCTCCCGGTCTGGCAGTTGTAAAGAATGGCAGAAGAAGCAAAATAAAAACAAAAAAGGGGGTTCGATCGACGAAGCCAAGGTAGGAAAAGATGGAGGTGGAGGTCTTTGCTCTACCTACGGCACTCAACACTCAGCTGCATCGGGGAGTTCATCTCATCGTCGTACAGACATGACTTCAGTTCATTGTTGATCTATCGACACTTTGATTCACCGTCATAATCAATCAGTAAGCCGGTAATCAGCGGGAGCCGGTCGACAATGAGAAACGCGCGGTCCGTTGAGCACCCGACTAGCCTTAGCGGACGCCACGCATGGCGGCATGGGCAGCAGTACTCCCTGGGCTCTGGAGTACCTATCAATAAGGTAGCGGTAGCTGAGGAAGCCACCAACTTCACACACTGGAGTCTTCCGTGGGTGAGATTGTGAGAGTCTAGACTGCTAAGAGAAGCCCCTGTTTGGAGACTTGCGACAGGCTTAGAGCAGGACAGACTCTCTCCGTCGTTCCCTGCGGCACCATTCGGCTGCGCTACCATCCGCTGGGCGATAACAGGAAAGGCGACGGGAACCCCAATTCCTTCCACGTCTGTGCCCACGCCCGCCCACTCCCTTACTCCCTCACTCCCTCTCTCGCCCTCCAGTGCCTCCACTTGCGCCAGCCTATTTTGGTAGGCGGAACAGCGGGCAGGGGTAGGTACCTCACGAGTGAGTGGTGACTGAGGTGGACTGGCTGACTGGTTCTCAGCCTGAGGACTTGACGGGAAGAGTGCGCGGCCGGGGGGTGGGCGGACGAATCGAATCGACTGGGGGGAAGACTCGGGGACAGGATGGCACGGAAAGTACACATTTCAGATCTGAGCTGTAACTTCCGCTCTCGCCTTGGGGTCCACGGCTCAGGTCCTGCTCCTGGATAATTCAATCGAACTGTACCTTGACCATTTGCGCGTCGTTCTTTTTTTCCACTTCTCCTTCCTTTCCCATCTTTCTCTCCCTCCCGAACCTCCGCCCTCCCTCCAAACAACCACCCTAATCTGCAAAATACACGTCCGTCCTGCTACGGATTGTGGTCGTTCTCTCTTCGTCCTTTTCATTGCTGGGGGGAAAGACGACGTCTCTATGAAATCGCGGATCGGAACACATCCGTAACTCTATCTACCTAATCCGACCCAGGTAGCCTCGGGGAGGCCGTACACTTCCCCCATCATGGCTATCCTCTCGATGGTGCCAGCGCTTCTGCTTGCGCTGGCATCATGGACGCCCGCCGTCGCCGCCCAGAGCGCCGCCGACTACTTTGTCCACGAGCTGCCCGGCGCACCCAAGGAGCCTTTCATTAAGATGCACGCTGGGTACGTTGTCCTCCGATGATGCCGCGCATGCAGCATTTCAGCATTTCCCCTTGGGACCCCTGTGGAATAAACGAAGAGGTGTTCGCAACTTGTAGAGACATTCAAAGCTGACGCGCGTTTCATCACAGCCACGTCGAAGTAACACCCGAACACAACGGAAACCTCTTCTTCTGGCATTTCCAGAACCAACACATCGCCAACAAGCAGCGCACTGTCATTTGGTTGAACGGCGGTCCAGGATGCAGTTCCGAGGATGGCGCCCTGATGGAAATCGGTCCCTACCGAGTCAAGGATAAGGACAACCTCGAGTACAACAACGGCTCATGGAACGAGTTCGCCAACCTGCTCTTCGTCGACAACCCCGTCGGTACCGGTTTTAGTTACGTCGATACCGATAGCTATCTGCACGAGCTCCCCGAGATGGCCGACCAATTTGTTGCCTTCCTCGAAAAGTGGTTTGCCATGTTCCCCGAGTACGAACATGACGACGTGAGTATACTGGATTTGAAACGCAACTGCTTGGAGCTGGGTTAACAACTATACAGCTCTACATCGCCGGTGAATCGTACGCCGGTCAGCACATTCCTTACATTGCGAAGCACATCCTTGAGAGAAACAAGAAGCCTGGCACGAAGCACATTTGGCAGCTCAAGGGCCTGATCATGGGCAACGCTTGGATCTCCCCCAAGGAGCAATACGACGCCTACTTGAAATACGCATACGAGAAGAAGCTCATCGAGACGGGATCTCCCGTCGCGTTGAAGTTGGAGCAGCAATGGCGCATTTGCCGCACCTCGCTGGCCGTCTCAAACACTGTCGATTTCTCCGAGTGCGAGGCTGTCTTGCAGAGCCTGCTCGAGCAGACGGCCAAGGTGAACTCCAAGGGCGAGCGCGAGTGCATCAACATGTACGACATTCGCCTCCGCGACACCTACCCTTCGTGCGGCATGAACTGGCCCCCAGACTTGGTCAACGTCACCCCCTACTTGCGCAAAACCGAAGTTGTCAACGCCCTGCACATTAACCCCCAAAAGAACACCGGATGGAAGGAATGCAACGGTGCCGTTGGTGCCGCTTTCAGAGCTCCCAACTCTGCGCCGTCGAGAGATTTCCTTCCCGATCTCCTCAAGGAGGTTCCCATTGTTTTGTTCTCCGGCGCCGAGGATCTTATTTGCAACCACATGGGAACCGAACAGATGATTGGCGACATGGAATGGAACGGTGGCAAGGGTTTCGAGCTTACTCCCGGCAACTGGGCTCCTCGCCGCGACTGGACGGTCGAGGGCGAAGCTGCCGGTTTCTGGCAGGAGGCCCGCAACCTCACCTACATTCTCTTCTACAACTCTTCTCACATGGTGCCTTTCGACTACGCTCGCCGAAGTCGCGATATGCTCGACCGTGTCATGAAGGTTGACATCAGCTCTGTTGGCGGCACGCCTACCGACTCCCGACTCGACGGCGAGACCGGCCCAGCCACCTCGGTCGGCAACATTGGCAACAGCACTTCCGACGACGAGGAAACGCAGAAGAAGTTGGACGATGCGAAGTGGAAGGCATACTACCGCTCGGGCGAGATTGTCCTCATCATTGTCATCATTGCAGCGGGTGCTTGGGGTTGGTACGTCTGGAAGGAGCGCCGCAAGCGCAGGGGCTACTCTGGCATTATGGGCAACACCCCTCCTACCACTCAAAGAGGCGCCGCGCGTGGTCTCGAGGGGTTCCGCGATCGGAGGACTGGTCGCGACGTTGAGACGGGCGATTTCGATGAGAGCGAACTGGACGACTTGCACGTAACGACACCAACGATGGATAAGGACCGCTACAGTGTGGGAGGCGATAGCGATGATGAGGCTCATGAGAAGCCCTCGAGAGCAAACGGCAGCCGCTCAGCGCGGTAAAGGAATCGACGACAGCTTTGCAATGATATGCAAGGTTGGCACAGGTCAAACACTATTATTGATGCTCCTCCAAACAATGCATGGAAAGTTTAGCGAAGGTTATCTTTTTTCAAAGGGGCAGAGGATGAATGAACATTAGGCTTCAGCACGGAAACGGAGTTTTATATGATGTCTGAATAAGGATAGAAGCAAGAAGGTATTTTATGTTCCATAGGGAAAATTTGGTTATTTTTCGTCTTGGCTAAGGCCTGATACTTGAAGGATGCATCTACAGTTTCCCCATGCGAATCGTGCCTTTCTTTGTCCTATACCAATGATTTGTATCTCTTCTCAAAGTCTAATCAGACTAGAGTTGTCATTTTTGTCCTACGCCTACGCCTAAAACGCCCTCTTTCTCGAATGAAAGCGCCCTTTTTGAAAAAGTACCAATTTGACTCTGTTCGCCCAATGAACCGAACCGCCACCCAATGATTTGATGTTTCCCCCCAACCCCCTCCTGTAAAAAACGAAATGCATCTTGCAGATGGATATATGTGTGTGTGTGTTGTATGTGCCAGGCTTTCCCTTCCATAACCATGACTTTGTAAACGCCAGTCGTTTGTCTTTATTGTGTTGTTGTTGTTGTCCCCGGAAAAAGAGTATTGACAGTTGAAGTGAGAGAATTTCGTAAGAGAAGGTGTAGTGCCTTTTACAATTGGATATCGTTATTGAGGATCCGCACCTCCTCGCCGGGCTTGAAGGGCGGGAGGCCGATGTACGGGCACCCGTCGCAGCGGAAGGCGTCGCCGAGGGCGCAGTTTCCGCAGGAGCCGACTTTTCCTTGGACGGTGAAGTCGACTTCGGCGAGGTCGTCTGCGCCGAGCTTGACGGCGGAGGCGGACGCGGCGGCGAGGGCCTTGTCGGCGGAGGCGCGGGCGGCGTCGTCTTCGGCTGCGAGGCGCTCTGCTAGGCCGCAGGTGCAGTCTTTGCAGGCGCGGCGGCGTTTTCCTGCTTTGGGGGCGCATTCGGGGGCTGTTTTTGGGGGGATTTGTTAGTTGTGTCCTTTGGTCTGAGTGAGAGAAAACGGAGAGAAGTTGAGACATACGGATGTTGATGGGGCGCGAGAGGTCCGCGTCCGTGAGGAGGGTGTCCTCATCAATGAGGTCGTCGTCGTCGCCGTCGTCCATGTCGAGGTCGTCGCTGAAGTCGACGAAGCCTACGCCCGCGGGGGGCGCGGAGACGGGGGGTGCGGTGGAGGGCTTGCTGCTGAGTGAGACGGCGCCTCCGTTGTTGAGCGAGACGGCACCGCCGTTGTTCAGGGACACGGCACCGTCGCCATTAACGACGCCGAGCTTCTTCTTCTTGCCAAAGCTCAGCGAAACGACCTGATCGTCACCGTAATCCGGCTTCGTGAAGCCGCCACCACCACCCGCCGCAGACGAAACGAGACCGGCGAGGACGGCCTCGCGCGCGACGGCGGGGTCGTTTGCGAGGTTGCCGCCGTCCTGGGCTCTGACGTGGGCGCCGGGCTTGAGGGACTCCGCGACGGCGGAGAGGACGGCACCGCGGTCTGCTGCGAGGAGGGCGGTGGATTCGACGCGGGAGCCGTCTGCGTCCGTGAGGACGAGGACGGCGTCGTAGGTTGCGGCGGGGAGGGCGACGAGGCGGGCGGAGAGGCGGTCGAGCATTTGGAGGTCTGTTGTGGTGCGGTCGTGGGTTGCGAGGAGGGATTGGAGCTTGTGGGGGTGGGATGCTATGGAGGGGGGCGCGAGGAGGAGGGTGCGGGTTGAGGAGGGTTGCTGCATCGTGGGTGCGGTGGTGGTTGTGGTTGTGGATGTGGTGGTGGTGGTGGCGGGGGTGAAGTCGAAGTCGGGGGTTGTGTCGAGGGTTACGAAGGAGGGCGCCATTTTGGGGAGATGGGTGACTCTTTTTGTTTGGAGTGCGAAAGTGTTTTTTCTCTCTTTCGTTCTTTGCGGTATGTGTGAAGATTGTCGGTGGGAGACGGGGGGGGAATGTGAAGGGGGTCGGAAAAGGTTGTTGGATGTAGTGGATAGGTGTGCGGTTGCGTCCTTTTTGCGGAATTGATTTGAGGAAGTTCCTGGCTTGGATTAGTCAATGACCAAGAGGAACGGCAAGAGAGAAGAAAAAAATAAAAACCACACAGAACTGTGTAGCGGGATGTGAACGTACTGTAGGACGGCGGTGCTTGATAAGCGTGGAAAGGGTGAGGGGTCGGCGGGGTGGGCACCGTAATCTGGCAAGGGTTGTCACACGGTATTGCGTAGGTCCTGGTTCTGGCGGTGGGTTTTGGATCGGGGTCGGGTACGGGAGTAGACGAGGGGAGGTTTGAAGTGAGGCCTTGTTCTTGTTTGTCGATGGACGTGGAGCGCGTAATGGGAGGGAGGGAGTGGGAGGAGGATGAGAGGGGGGGAAAGGTAAGTAATTAAGTGGACGTCGGGAAAAGGGTCCTGAGACGGAGATGCACGATTCTTTGCCTACAGATCTTTATCAGATCTCTTGTCTTCAGTTGTGCTTACGTTTACGGTGAAATGGAAAAGGCAAGGTACGACAAATATGTAAGGTAGGGTACCCGTGGATTTAGGGGTCCGAAAGCGGCGGCTAGAAAAGTATCCCCGCCCACATCTACGCAATAAAAAAAGTTGACACTCACAATCACAAGCATGACATAGGTAGATGGGAAAAAAGTAGACACGGCAGACGCCTGAGTGACAGAAGCGACAAGGGGGTGGTGGTTGGAAATGCTGACGCTGCATTACTCCCTACAGATTCCCGTACTCCTACTTGTGTATGACCTATGGGATGGGGGACAAATTGGCCCAACCAGCGAGTGTGCAATCCTCATTTCCAAACAACCGCCCTTTCTACCTTTTTAACTCGTATTTCCTCGGCGGATACCCGCTGCAAGTTCTCACTCGTAATGACTTTTCTCTTAGTCTCTTTTTCCCCCAAAGGTGTGGGCGGCGGCAAGAAGAGTCATGGACTGGACTGGACCTGGACCGCACAGGGGGACCTGACGGTCGGCGCCGCGGACAATGCACCGTGGCCACAGTGGGAATGACCGCTGACCAAACTGACAAAGGTGCATTCTCCGCAAGGTCATTGGTCGACAACGAAGTATAACCCCCCCTTGGCGATGCTCATCCCTGCCCGACCATCTTTACCAAGTCCCCCCTTGGGCTCTTCTCAATCCTTGGGCTCCCCTTTCGCGGGGTCCAGTTCTGCAGGACTGCAACCCCCCCCTCGCCATTCGGCCTTGTTCGGCGCTGCTGCAACCTGCGATTCGGAACCCTGATTAAGCAGATTCTGCCGGGATCGGGTCGGATTGCTCCCTTGAGTAAGGTAAGGTTCGACAGACGGGAAATACGGAGTACCAGAGCCGTGTTGGCCGTTTCTGTTTGTCATCTCGTCCGGCCGGCTGCGGACTGGTTCTCCTCTGCCTTTCCTTGGCAAAACTCCCACCGCGCGCGCGCGACGATAACCGCCGTCGGCCTTTACCTACCTACCTTGAGGATCTTAGGTAAAGGAACTAGTATGCTAGGACTAGGTAAGGGTAGGTAGGTAGGTAGGTAGGTAGGCAAGAGATTGATGTAAAGTCCATTGCCAAACTTTTGATTCGTCCCCAAGTGACCGCGTACTATATGCATTGTGATACATGAGAAAATTACTCGCTGGAGCTTTCGTCGTCTTGTTCTCCAGACGTCGGTTCCAATATCCCGTGAGCCTCAACGCCGGTCCCGGAAAGTTGCCTCCTCTATAGCTGCTCCACAACTCGACAACGACCATGACAACCATGGTGACCACGGCGACAACATGCTCTGTGATGTGACTCGTGAACCCCTCTACAACTTGAAGCTGCTGCTCGTCGCCTTGACCTCCGCCTTGGCCTTGTTCCCGTCGAGCCCGACGACCTCGCCCTTGCGGTTGATCACCTTGACCCCGCCCTTCTTCAAGTCCGCCATCGTGTCCTTCTGCATCTGCGCCTTCTTGCTGAGCGGCTTCTTGTCCGTCCCGCCCGCCTTGCGGATCCGCTCCTTCTCCCGGCGGCGCCGCCGCACCTTGTCCTCCCGCGACATCTCCTCCCGCGCCATCGGCAGCCCGCTCTTGCCCAGCACCACCTCGCCCTTCTCCGCCGTCGCCTTGCCGGCCTTGTACACCTCCTGCGGCGCGATCATGCTCTGCCCGCCGCTGACCCCCTGCGCCGTCGCCGGCTGCGCGTCCTCCATCGCGATCGTCGCCGCGTCCGACACCACCGTCAGCGACGGCGCCGCCGCCTTGGGCTTGTAGTGCCAGCTGCTCAGCGAGTCCAGCTTGGCGCTCAGGTCCTTCCACATGCGCTCGATCTCCGCCTCCTCCTTGGCGAGCTTCTCGTCCGACTTGCTGACGTAGCCGTCCGGGTCCGCGTTCTTGATGTGCTCCTCCTCGTAGATCTCCGCCAGGCCCTTGCCGGACTTGGAATCGTCCAGCTCGATCAGGCCCCGGCGCGTGTTCGCGGGCATGTCCTCGGCGCCGGGCCGGCGGCGAGCGACCTCGTCAAAGTCCTGCGCCAGGATCCTCCGCTTGATGAGCTCCTCGATGCTCTCGCTGACCTCGGCCGTGATGATGGGCACGGGTTTGCCCAGGTGCTCGAACGACATGTCCTCCTCGAGCAGCGAGTTCATCGGGCGCTCGGCGGCGGACGCCTCGCCGGTCAAGGTCCACTGGCGCTTGGCGACCGACTCGGCCTCGAGCTTGCGGATCTCCTCGGCCAGCTTGGCCTGGCGCCTCTCATGCGCGGACCGGCGCGACCGCGGGTCGCCCGCCGAGGCGTCGGACAGGGCGTCGTCCGAGTCGTCTCCGTGGTCGGAGTCGTCGTCAAAGAGGTCCTTCTTGACGTCCGCCATGGCGCGCTCGACGTCCTCTTCCTGGACTGCCTTGGGCGCGAACCGCACGGACTTGTTCTTCTTGTACTTGCCATCCTTGGACGCCTTCTTCGCCGGCGGTGCGAAGAAGTCCTTGAAGTAGATGCCGTTCGCGTTGAACTCCTCCTCCTCGTTGTCCATAGCGTCATCCATGTCCTCGTCGTCACTGGCACCCTCGGGGGCGTTGAGGTCCATGTCGCCGAATGTAGGCCCGTCGTCTTCCGAGTCCTCCTCGTCCGAGCCGGCGTCGTCTTCCATGTCGACGTCCCTGTCCTTGTTTTTTGATGAGCTGGACTTGACTGATGGTGCCATGGGGTCGGCGTTCCAGTCGATATCTTCGTCGTCGCTGTTGGCGTCCGTGTTGGGGTCTCCTCGCGCATCCTGCTCTTCGAACCACTGGGTTTGCTTGTTGAAGGCGTCGATTGAGAAGAAGCCGTCGTTGAGTCCGTTAGGGTCCTCGACATATTCCTCCTCATCGTCCTCTTCTTCCTCGTCGTCTTCTTCGCCGTCCTCTTCCTCATCATCTTCATCCATGTCTTCGAGATCACCCGTGAGACCTTCAACGTCCGAGCCCTCAAGCTCCTCCGCATCAGAGTCCTCTTCGGCGTCCTCCAGATCAGAGCCTGACAGCTCTTCCTCGTCACTGGAGCCCTCCTCGTCGTCGTCAACATCTTCGGAAGCCGTCTCGAAAGAGAGAATAGAGCTCTCTGAACCATTGTCCTCGATCGTGACAACCTCATTCCGGTCCTCGAGCTCCTGCAGCGTCTCCTTGGAGTGGTTCAAAGCGCTCTGAATGATACGACGGGCCTGCTGCCAGACCTGGCTCGTCTCGAACCCGTCGACGTGGACCTTGCGAATCTTGAGGACATCGGGTCCCGCGCCGCCGCCGCCGGCCCGCTTGCGCTTCTTCGTCGCCTCCTTCAGCAGGCGCAGCTGCTCGTCGCTAATCTGGCCGGCGAACGCATCGAGCGTGTCCTTGACGACCTGCAGAGAGGCGGACGGGATCGCGGGCGGCGGTTGGAGAAAGGCGTGTCGGTTCTGGGCGTCCAGGTTGTCGAAGAGGGCCTTTACGTCGACAACGCCGCCGTTGGGGAGCTGAGCGGCCATGCCGGGCGCAAATGTGAGGGTATTTGACGTCAGGGAGGAAGATGTGCTGCTGCCCGCCGCCATGATACTTTTTTTTTTTTATCGTGGCTGGCTCGCTCGGAATATGCGTGTTTCGGCCGTGCAAGAATTGGACTTTTTTTTTTGGTCGGACATGGGCTTGCGCTTTCCGTCAAAAAAATTTGGGACCCCGCAAAACCTCCGGGTTCGTGGATCTAATCATGATTGGCCAATGAGATCTACGCTGCCTGTCAAACCTCATTAGCTAATCACTATAGTTCATCCGTTCTGCACCCTTTTGGGTCGGCACCTATGAAATGATGGTGACATTCGCCATTGATTGCAAAGTACAATCACTTGATGGTAGTTCGAAAGACTAATTGAAACAAATCCAGGAGAGCCTTAAACAGAATCCTGTCAGCTACCGTAGGAAGCGAAGTCCGAGGTTGACATTGGCCCTCGCCACTTTCATAGTCCAAGTAAGTTACAGTAGTAGTGAAGCTGCTTATACCAATGCCTACTAGGTAGGTACATGGAATTCATGAATCTATGTTTGCCTGTTCAAACGTCCGCTATTGAAATGCTGCTGCACTGCACTGTTGGTAAGATTCCAGAACGTCCCGGCTCGGTGGTGGGGCCGATCTGGTTCCAGGTACCTCCGAAAGATTACTAAGAATGGCAAAACCCCCAACGGCCTCGACTTACACATCCCAGCCCATCAGAACTTGCTTCATCTCACACACTACCTTGAGATTCAAAGCATTTACAAGCTATTCGTGCCAAATTTCTCAGGCCAGAATTGTTTCTTGATCAGAAACACAAGAACGAGTCTTACCAAGACCCACGCGCAAGTCGATTTCATTCGTAAGTCTCACTTCTCGTTCGGACTTCAGAGTGGAGAAGCACCCAGTTGAACCCTTAAGCTGTTGGTACACCTTTGCGATCTGAAAGCCTTCTCCTCCCTTTGTCTTCATCTTTAGATACCATGGGAATGTACTCTCAGTTTCATCTTGCTCGATCATTGGGATGAGAGATTCAATCAGGGTATCCTCCAATATGACTCACAAGCTAAACCTCTAAGCAGCACCGTCAAAACGAAGCTCGACTTCCTACTAAGACGTAGTCTCAGTGAAAGGAAAAGAGGCTTGAGCTTTATTTTAGTTTGACGAAAGCCACGATCAGAGATTCCGCCATTCATCGAAGGCGACGGATAGCCACGTATTGGCACCTTCCGCGTCCTCAAAGACCATTTCCTACGGCGTATACCGTCCAGTATATGTTACTGTCAGAGGCTCTACAGAGTCCGACGTGACTTCAAAATGTCCAAAGTGGGCGTCTCAGACGATCCGGCCGCAGCAGTCGCAGCATCCCGCTCCGACGGCAAGACACATCTGTTGCTATGCGCCAGCGGCTCAGTCGCCACCATCAAACTGCCCAACATCATCAAGGCCCTCGGCCACCACAAAAGCCTCGCCATCAGAGTCATCCTCACGGCCTCGGCAACGGAGTTCTTGAACGGTTCAACAGAGGAACAGCCTTCGCTTGCCGCAATAAGAGCACTCCCAAATGTTGAAGGCATTCACTTGGACGCGGACGAGTGGGTGCAGCCTTGGCGGCGTGGTTCGTCGATTCTGCACATCGAGTTGCGGCGGTGTAAGTCGGGATATGTCTATGCCATATCTTCACTTGTCCGGTCTTGCTGACGTCTATTTACTCGTGTAGGGGCTGATCTGATGCTGATCGCTCCACTATCGGCAAACACATTGGCTAAAATTGTTAACGGCTTCTCAGACAACCTCTTGGTGAGTGTTGAACAGCTACGATTCACGTTCTGTCCTGTTACTAACGCTTCTGTAGACGAGCGTGGTTCGAGCATGGGATGCAGACGGACTCATCGACGGCCGGAAGAAGAAGATCCTCGTGGCTACCGCGATGAACTCGGCCATGTATGCGCATCCCATCACTGCAAAGCAGGTCAAGGTGCTCGAGGAGGAGTGGTCGTGGTTTGAGGTGTTGAAACCAATCGAGAAGACGCTTGCTTGCGGTGACACTGGGGGCGGTGCAATGATGTCGTGGGAGGATATAGTCAAGGTGACGGAGGCGAGGCTTGGCCTGTGATACCATATCGTATAAGAAGTTATCGGCAGGAATTCAAACAAGGCTGTCCTCTTGGTGTATCTGATCTTATTCGTACGAACATACCCTCTTTATCTTACCTAGCCATCAAGGCATCGACCAAATAGAACGAAAGCAGTAAGTGGGAAGGCCACTTGCGGATGAGGACAGATGCGGCGTGGAGACTTGGTTATAGCACAGGAATCCCAGCAAGCACGGCATTCTTTCGATATTGCTTCTATCAAATTCTTGGTCTACATATATGTTCTTGCTGTACAAAGACGTTCAATCAGTTGCCCCCCATCGGTGATCCACGAATCTATAACCAACAAGATATGTTAGACATGTGAATCGCTATAAATGTGTTACGTATGCGCATAATGGAGGAGAAGACCCGTTGGTTTGGAGTAGGCTGAGTGAGGGGAAAGGAAAGGAGGCGTGCTTGTATTGATCAGTCAGAACCATTCTTTCAACATCTGTTGGAACGATCCAGATAGCAGTCAAAATCAGAGTACCTGAGATGGGTATCATGAGCTTGGGCTGGGGGGATGACATTTGCCGTGCACTGATTGGCGCTCCAGGTAGCCCACATGGAGTCCGACCTCGGTGACCTCGGTGAGCCAAGGCCCAAGCTCCCTCACCGAGAACCACACCTCGGATTACATCACCCATTCTGCAATCCCATGACATTTTCGCATTTCTCATCAACTGCCCTCCCCCCGTTGACCACCCCTTCAACACACCCACTCCACAGCCAAGATGTTCTCAAGGACGTTCCTCCGCTCAGTAAGTTCCGACTCGATCTCAAGAATAGTCTCAACGGCCCCTACCCACCTCGTGCGCAATCGCTAACCATTGGTGTGTTTGTCTTTCCGCAGAATTTCGCAAGGCAAGCCGTCCGGCCGGCGGCGCGCCCAATCGCCTTCCGGGCCCCGCTCCCCTTCCTCACCCAGCACCGCCTCATCTCCGACGAGACGAAGCAGGCCATCGAGAACGCCGTCGGCTCCGCGCCTGTCGTGCTCTTCATGAAGGGAACCCCCGAGACCCCCCAGTGCGGCTTCTCCCGCGCCTCGATCCAGATCCTCGGCCTCCAGGGCGTCGACCCCTCCAAGTTTGCCGCCTTCAACGTCCTGGCTGATCCCGAGCTGCGTCAAGGTATGTCGATACATGACATTCGCACATTCACAACACGCGCTGGACTAGACTTGTGCATTGGAAGGAAGAGAAATGCTGACTCTTTTTGTGTGTTTGTGTAAACAGGTATCAAGGAGTTCTCTGACTGGCCTACGATCCCCCAACTCTACGTCGACAAGGAGTTTGTCGGCGGCTGCGACATTCTCGTTTCCATGCACCAGAACGGCGAGCTGGCCAAGCTTCTCGAGGAGAAGAAGGTCCTTGCCGAGACCGAGGGCGAGGGCGAGAAGAAGGAGTAAGAGCGAAGGAAAGCTAGAAATCCCGCGCTGGAAAAGCGTTGAGGACTGTACAACTGTATCATACCAAAGGAAAGGGGCAAGCTATGCGTGGATCATGGCTGGAGGAAATAGAGTGGTATTTATTGGCAAAGACCTAAACACTTTAATCATGTACTCCTTTTTACGCAGCTGAAAGTCACGTTGAAAGGATGATGTGGTACGTGGGTGCGGCGATGCTATCCCCTATTCCTCATGCAATCAAGTGAAGCCATCGCGAGAGAAACGAGAAAGGAGGCGTTTCGATGCAGCGGGATTCTTTTGCACAACGAAGATCCAAATGCGAACCCATTGTAATCGATGGGCCCCATGATGGGTTGTCATGCTGCACGGAGGCAAGTCACTCAAAGGAGCAAAAGACAGTTCCTCGATATGGGATCGAACAAAAAACTAAACGTCGAAATATGATGTTCAAAGGGACTGAGATCCACACTCGGGTCTTCCCCCATGAACCCCTCGACCACCTACCCCGAGTCGCTCAGTGATAGGTTTGGACGCTGCGCTGAATATATGGTGACCGGGTGACTTGGAACCTCAATGGTGAATATGGGATGAATACTACGACAGTCGTACCTTTCGGATGACACAAGACTGGCTCCAATCCCAATTTCCACATCATGATCATAATATTACGGCTACAGATTATCTGGAAACTCGACCTCGGAGCACCTTAGAGTGCCGGGTACGCAGCACCGTCACCGCGCGGGTCACTTCCCGCAGACCACACGCCCGTCCCCTCGACCGTATCGACGGTATGTCTAATGATCTGCCCGCGGCCAAACAGCCCCCTCTCAGATCCGGTAACCACCTCAACCTTGTGCCCGAGCTTGCGCAGACCCTCCACCGTCTCCTCCGGCATGCCCTCCTCCACGCTGACAGTCCAGTCAAAGTCGGCGTCCCTCTCGGGCAAGCCCGCAACGATACACACGCGCGGCGCATCGAGCGTCTGCTGCGGCGTGAGCCCCGCGACCAGCTGGCCGAGGAGAACCTGCACGTGGCCCTGCGGCTGCATGAACCCGCCCATGACGCCGAAAGCGCTGTGCAGCGACCCGTCGGCCGCGTTGGTCACCATGCCGGGGATGATGGTGTGGTAGGGCCGCTTCCTGGGCTCCAGCCTGTTGGGGTGGTCCGCGTCGAGGCTGAAGTTGGCGCCGCGGTTCTGCAGCGTGAAGCCGCAGCCCTTGGGGATGATGCAGGTGCCGAAACCGCCGTAGTTGCTGTTGATGAAGGACGCGGCGTTGCCGTGCTCGTCCGAGACGGAGAAGTAGACGGTGTCGCTGCTCTGGAGGGCCGGGGACACGTGCTTGGGGGGCTCGCCGACGTGGAGCTTCTGCGTGGCCTTTGTTGGGTCGAAGAGCTTTGCGCGGGCGGCCGAGTACTCGCGCGAGATGAGGCCGGCCGAGGGCACGGTGACGACGTTGGGGTCCGTGACGTACCAGCTCGCGTCGGTGAAGCCGAGGCGGAGGGCCTCGATGATGGCGTGGAGGTAGGGCGCCGTGTTGTGGTCTTCTGCGGACCAGGCGGGGACGACGCCCGAGTCCTGGAGCTCTTGGATGATGCCGAGGGCCATGAGGGCGACGATGCCCTGGCCGTTGGGCGGGTGCTCCCACACCTCGACGGCGCCGTCGCCGCTGCCGCCGGAAGATGCGCCGTTGGCCTCCTTTTTGAGGGCGGGCTTGAACTTGAGTGAGATTGGGTCGACGGGCTCGCTTCCCAGCTCGAGGTGGTGGGCCAGATCGTCGAGTTCCAGGTGGCCGCCGAGATCCTTGACGACCTTGACCAGCTCTTCGGCGATACGCCCCGTGTAGAAGCCCTTCTTGCCCTCCTTGGCGAGAGTGCGGAAGGTCTGCGCCAGGGTGGGGTTCTTCATGATTTCGCCAGGGTTGGGCGCCCTCACTCTGTCTGAGGCCTTGGGGTCCTTCTTCAGCATTTCTGCAAAGTTGGGAGACGCCTCTCTGATCTGAGGCTCTGCTGTGTTCCACTGTCAAAAGGTATCAGCGATCGTATTCTGATAAGTGTCTATACACAACTCGAAATCATGGGATCATAGAAGACGTGAGAACGTACGTAGTGACTCGTCAGCTCTGAGACGGGGAAGCCCTTCTCTCCGAGCTCGATAGCCGGGGACAGCACCCGTTCGAGGGAGACCTTGCCGCTGCCAAAACGCTCAATGGTGTCCACCCAGCCTGAGGCGGCACCGGGGACGGTCACGGCGTGGACGCTCTTCATGGGGATCTTGCCCGATGCGCCCTCCTTGATTCCGAGGTCCTTGCGGATGGTCTCGAGCGTCGACTTCTGAGCCGAGCGGCCGGAGCCGTTCATGGCCGAGACCTTCTTTGTGGCGGCATCGTAGAAGAGGATGAACATGTCGCCGCCGATGCCCGTGGAGCACGGCTCTGTCATGTTCAGTCCGGCAGCTAGAAACAAGGCATAAGCATTAGCGATCTGGTCTCACATTTCATAACAATCACTTCATTTCGAGAACGCGACAAACCGGGTGGGTTGACTAACCGACTGCAACGGCGGCATCCTGATGACTTGCTGTTAGCCTTGATCGTGGATATATTGACTCGGCAGAGTGAGGCGCGACTTACAGCGGCATTACCGCCAGCCTGGAGGATTTCGATACCACATTTTGCGGCCAGCGGCTGCGTGCATGATACGATTCCCTTTGTGCTGTGAACGACACTCCTTCGGCTGGCGAACTTTGAGAATTCGCTTGCTTGCGCCGAGTGGAGGGACTCGCTGGTGAGGGGCATGGTGAGTCGTGCGCGTGGTGCGGGGTTATCGATCGCGATAACCGATAGGGAACGGTGGTGATGATGAGATGGCGGGGCAAGTTTAATTTGGGGGCCAGAGGAAGTATTATGAGATGAAAGGCGATGTTATCTCAGTCTCTTTAGGAGAATGAATAATCAAAGGTCAATGATTTGTATGAGATCTCTGGAAAATGTAGATGGCGTCATTCAAAAAGGGCGTAAGGTGCAGCGAGTTCGGAGATGGGAATGCGCAGGACAGGCACACAGATAGATAGTCCCCCTTGGTCCGGGTCCAGGTTTTCGGGGAATCTAGCCGATGAAGAGGGATCAGGCTGTCTAGTCGACGGGGGATATAATGCCGGTAGTCGGTTAAGGAGGAGGAGCAGTCAACAGGATAGGTCAGAACGTGAGCGTTGAAGATATAATGATCCTGTACGTAATGCCTAGGTTCGGGCTTCCCAGGGTGGTTACCGAGAGAGGTAGGTCGATAAGTGAACGGCGCGGTACGGAGCAGGATGTGGACGGGGGGAAACTGGCGCTAGTGGAGTTTGTGCTCCGCATGAGAAGCCCACCCGGGGTAGATGCCGAGAAATGAGGATGCTCGCGAAGTTGGCAACTCAGTTGACAAAGTGAGTAGTGCGTGAGTTCGAGTGTTCCGAGCGAGAGCGAAGTATGGATGTCGACACGGGGCGCGGAGGAGTCTTGAGTGATGACTTTGGATTTTTAAAAAGAAAGTCTGTTTATTCAAGTGACATGTTGCACGTCCTTCATTAGCTAAGTAGCTAAGATGGAATGGCAGATGGAGGAGAACAACGTATGTAAGCCATCGTTAAAATGTATTTAGGTCATTCATTACACGTGGGACTATCCCACGCGGTAGGACAATGTCAGGCACTTGCAGGGAGGGAGGGGTTCTCTCGACATCTCAAGTATCCGGTCTGGGAAGAAAAGACCCCGAAACGGTCCCTTTCAGCACTGGCGTTCCCACTGTAACGCCGCACCGGCGGCCGCCGCCGGCAAAAGGTCCGAAACTCGGGGCTTGTTTCAACGGCACCAGTGTGGCATTGTAGCACGGTCGTCAACGATGGAGGAAGTGCAGTGGTAGTTGCAATTAGAGCAGCAAGTTGTCAAACGAATGGGGGAAAGTCTGGAAAGGAGAAATTGGAATTATTCGAACTTTCTCATGTACATCTCATCCTTTTCCAGCAGCGGCTTGGGTTCGTCATCCCATGTTCTTGGTTCGTCTTCCTTGTTATGCCCTCGGCGTCCGGACCTCATGACCAATCGCCCAATCCAGCACTGCACTCTTCCGTCATATAGCAAGTTGGACCCAAACAAGCGGATCATCCCGCCGGTTGTAAAAGTCTACAACTGCGAATTGACACCTCGAAACGTGGGTCTGATCCGAATAACGATCGCGAGCCCAGCCAAGCCGGACTCTTAGACTCCTTGCCCAGAGAACTAGGACCGGATAGCCCAGACACTTTTTTACAGGAAGAAAACCTGGCCTTCTAGAACAAACTCAAAGATAAGCAGTACCGGATGGGCGCAGGGATGGGAGCTCTAATTCGCATCAATCGGCTCTACCCCTCCAACTCAATCAAGACCTCCATCTTCTCAAGAGCAGAGGAACAAAAGGACAGCGTGTCTGCGAAGAGCGATTGGAAGAACCCAAATGAGGGCAGCCTATGCGATGAAAGTGTTTCAGCTCACCTAGGTGTTATAATTGCGCTTGTCGTCTTTTGTCCGACGTGTTCATGCGGCACTGACTCTATACTGCACACGTCGTCTGGTCGTCAGGATGATTGGGCAGTCACATGCTTGTGACATTGACTGGCCTACCAATGTGTGTGTGAGGCAATCGAGATCGTTCCTCGCACTTTTGGCTGTCGCGCTTCACCAACTCTCGAGCTTGGCCATAGTCTCGTAGATGCTGGCACCATCTCTTACAGAATCCGTTATTCTAGGTAACAACTCTTGCTCTGGCCTGGGAAATTACTTAACCTGCGATTGGCTCGACAGCTCATGTGAGAAACAGACACTGACAATCTCTCCAATGCAACCTCAATGGCCTTGAAACAACGTTGATTTCCTAGAGTTGCACCCGGGTACATCATAATGCTACCCACATACCTCCGGAGAATTTCTCTCTGAGCGCTGTCAGCTCATTGTCGTCCGACTGATACTTCGCGATTCGAAACCTCGAAAACTGTAGCCAGCGAGTTTTCTGGTCTCATGTCCTTGTCTTCTGATGTTTTTGCAATGTCCTATGGAATTGGCGAATCCAACTTGAGATGGTGTCTCCCAACTACGACTCGGTGCGCTCTGCGTCTCCAGCCCCGATGCTCTAGCTTGATCTTTAGAAACGAAGGCCATTGGAATAATATGATGAGGGGGTATCTAATCTAATGTCGAATAAGTTGATTCTACCCTCGCAGCTGACGATGCCGAAGTTGTAGTGGACAGGTTGCTTAACCATCTGGGGCTTCAGCCTACTTACAACCGAATTGACTGATTAGAGTCCTTATGAAGGGGAGTTTTGTGATGTGTACTTTACACCAGTCTACCAGCCGGGTTGTAGTCGGCCAAAGTTATCCTGCCATGCGGACGTAGGAAGCTATTCAGGGGTACCCTCATCAGATACCATAGCTTAATCAAGCGAGAAGTCTGCGATTTCTTTCGACATCGAACTTGGTTTTTCTTTTGTTCAGGCTGGTTAATAACGACTATCTACAAACCTATCAGGCCGTGACTACAGCGAATCCTTACATTGGATTCTCTCCTTGCTGAATCTGTGCACCACTCCAATAGGATCGGAACCAATTTCTCATATCTTGAACCGGAATCCATGCGCCGCCGCCTCTCCCGGCGCGGCATTGATAGCCCCCTCGACGTGCTCCCCCCTCTCCAACTTGCGATTCAACCCCACCAACACAAACCTCAACACCGTCGCCGCGCAAATGGCAATAAAGCAAGCAACGCAGTTGTGGATAAACGCCGCCGTGTACTGCGGGCTGTCCTTCTTGGGGTACAAGTAACTCGCGTAGATACTGCTGCAGTTACTCACGGCATTGATAAACGCCAGCGCGGCGGCTCGCTTGGCGGGAGGACGCGGCAGGGTGTTGCTGATCCAGGCCAGCGCCGTGGTGTAGCCCGTGTAGACGCCGGGGACGAGGAGCATCATGGCGACATAGCGCGGGGCGGTCGCGTGCGTGGCGGCGCCGAGGATGAAGGCCGCCATGGCGACGCAGAGGGGCACGACGATGTGGAAGTAGCGCTCGCCCGTGCGGTCGGCGTGCCAGGCGTTGATGCAGGTCGTGATGACGCAGAGGACGTAGGGCGGGCAGGTTAGGAGAAGGGAGATTACGGAGTTGTAGCCGAGGGTTTGGACGACGGTGGGGAAGAAGTTTGTGATGGAGGCCGAGGCGACGATGCAGAAGATGAGGACCAACTGGGATGAGGCGTGTTAGTCTATGCATATGGAGGAAGAGGGAGGGTATGCCTTACCAGAATCCACGTCTTGACATCCTCCAACGCGGTCTTGAACCCGTGCCAGAACGTCTGCTCCCCGCTATTCTTCCAATCATCCTCGCCGATGTCCTCCTCCAGCCTCCAGACCGCGAGCGCCGTCTCCTCCTCGCTCAACCACGACGTCGTCCGCGGAAAATTGGGCAGCACGAAAAAGGCCGCAAACGCAACGGCGACGGTCACGACCCCTTCGATGAGGAACAGCCACTGCCAGGCGCCGAGCCCGCGCGCGCCGTCCATGTTGCCCGTGATACCCGCCGAGATGAGGCCCGAAAAGGCGCCGGAGATGAGGGAGCCGGTGTAGAGGATCGTCGTGCGCAGGCCGAGCTCCTCGCGCGTGTACCAGCAGGAGAGGTAGTAGAGGCAGCCCGGGAAGTAGGCAGCCTCGACGAAGCCCAGGACGAAGCGGATCACGAGGAGTCCTGCGTAGTTGCGGCAGGCGGCTGTCGCGGCGGATATGACGCCCCAGATTACCATCTTGAATTGCGGTATCGTTAGTGGTCTATAGAAAGGGACTTTGATGGTACGGTTACTGAAGTGGGACGAGTGAGTTTCTACTTACACACGTTGGAAGGTACAGCGCAGGCTTCCCAATCTTATTGAGAAACAGGTTCGAAGGCACCTGCATGAGAAGATATCCGACGAACAAGATACTCACAGCCGTCTGGAACTGGTTCGAATTCGGGTCGAGATTGAGATCCCGCTCCAAACCCGCCAGACGCGCCGCGGCGATGTTGTTCCTGTCAATGTAGTTCCTACAAACTTTTAGGTCAGCAGCTACTCTCGGCCAAGAACCGCAAAGCAACATTGTAATTGGGAGAAAGTTTTGAGAATAACAGTCTCCCTTCTTCACTTACAAGATGTACATGAGAACAATCATGGGGAGCAAGCGAATGTCCACCTTGCGCTTGAGCTTCTTCTCGAGCTCGACGCGGTACTCGTGCGACATGGCCGCGACGATGGGCGGCGGCTGCAGCCCGCGCCGCTCGGCCTCGAGGGAGAGCTTTGGCGGCACATCTTCCAGGTCGCCGGCGCGGTGTTCGTGATGTAGTGAGGCGTGGTCCACCTCGGACTGCTTCCCGTCTGCCATCTTTATTCCCCCAACGGTTGCCGTGAACTTTGGCGGAGCCTTCCTTGGAGAATTGTTGATTGGGCTGTTGAATCGGGGTCTGTCTGCCCTCACAAGAACACTTGGTTTCACTCCGGCTCGCTGGCGATCGAGTGTGTGTGACAGTAGTTCCGTCCTCAAGTAAGGTACTAGTAAGCGATGTTCAATTCAATTGCGAAGCGGACCTACCTCTTTTTAACTCCGCACATTACCCCAGATATGGCATATGGCTTCCCGCAGCGGAAAAAGGGAAAAAGAGCGGCATGCATGGGTGCTTTCGTCCCAGCTTTTTTCCCCATGTCGGGATAATCACCGTTCCCCTACCACCCCGCTGAGCGATGGGGTTACATATTCCCAGCCATTCACAATTGAGACCGGGGGAAAGTAGGTATTGCTTCTGGACTGTGGTGACGAAGATCTCTCCACTAGCTCTTCATTACTGTATCTTCTCCGCATCTCTAAAGTAGGCCTCGCGGCGGTAGTCGACATCGGTCCGATGAGTACCGACTGACCTCATCAGTCATGGCAAAGTGAATGCTCATCAATGATGGAGGAATCATCGAAACATGTCTCTCTGAAAGATAAGCTACGAGATATCAGGTGGATAATAGCCGAGTGAATCTATGAAGCTGCATGCGAATCCTTTTCCCAACCACTCGGCATCGATCACTAATTACTTTTTCCCTCATCAACCTTCCAACCTATCATATCATACGAGATCATACGAATAATCCCAGCCAAGACTTCATTCTTCGTTCTCGCGTTCGGAGTAAGAGTCCAGAAACAGAAAAGCACCAAATGATCACACACCTTTAAGCTTGAATTGCAAACGGCTCGTCGGTCTCCTACCTCCTCCACAGGAAAATCCCCACACACGGAAAAGCGTTCACGTATCCATTCCATGACCATCCAAAATCCGGGGTTGGAGGCGAAATGATGCGGGGAACTGGGGGGAAGAAGCGCTGGGAGTCGAGACGAATGACCGGGGTCGAGGGGCGGAGTAACTCCGCAACCACTTGCGGAAACCAAGTTGCGAGATGTGTGTCGAACGATTGCGGTGCTACGCCAGAACGAAGGTTGAGTTCGGGGCGATGACGGCACCCGAAAGGGGAGCTTTGGGGGCGACAGCCATTTGC